TGAGCCATCTCCAGTTATGCCAACCGGTTCATGGTTAGACACGTATTTTCAAATTCTATGTCGATTTCACCAGTAGTTCGCCTTAATACATGTGGTAAATGCTCGTACCAGCAAAGGCACTTCCCTTGTTAGTCCCTTTTGCTTAAAGCCATAATAATCACAGAATTATAAGAAATACTTGAGAATTTGAAATTGATTTTGAAAACAGTAACATATGATTAAACGGTGAGCAAAACCAGAAGATGTTCGCTGTTCCTCAAAGATAGCCCCAGACCCGAGTTTAATGAACAAATAGGAGAAATAAAATGTCTTTAACATTGTCATCTGTTGATAGAATTCTAATTTAACACTAAACACATTTTTTAAATAATTAATATGATAACTAATGCATTAATGTATATTAATAGATAGTAAGCTTATATTAGCTCGATGATGAAGGTGGCTGGTGTCGGAATAATTAAGAAATTAAGAGACAACAAATTACTATTGCACAAATGTGGTCAAAATTAGGAATAATTATAGTTTTCGAGTCATAAGCTCCACTTCTTCCTACCATGAGAAACAATTAAGACTTCTGATCAGAAAAACTAACTAACAATACATGTAATATTTCAAAGTAAATTAATTTACAATATTGAAGATAAAACTTACCCCGACAATCATCGACTTTATTTCTTTCATAGTTCACATCTTCATTGTCAATTTTAGCTTGTACTTTTGAATTTTTGAAACTCTTCTTCCATTAAAAGCCAATCATGGATGCATTCCAATTTGAGCAATTTAGACGGCATCTAATATGAGGTGTTACCATAGGTAATTTAGAGGCAGCATCGGGACCCTTGCCTTTCCTTCGTTCACGGCTTCTGGCTTGGGTAGGTAAAGGTCGGTTTCGCTCTTTTTAGTCTTATTCACATCTTTACCTGTTCCTGAATCCCCTCCTTGACCAGATACAGCACCTCGATTGTTGAAGAGAGATTTAAATTTTGCTTCAGATGATCTTGTAACACTATTATCCTGAAGTAATGTATATATGTTTTACCTCACACGATCAGACGATTTTTCAACCAAAACCTTTCCAAGAAAGCCAGTTGCTCCGGTCACAAAGACTGATTTGTTTCGATAAAATGAAGTGATGTTAAGATGAAACTAATGGTCAAAAATGAAGTAAAAGAAATACATTAATGATGAGAAACACAGGAGACTCAGAAGTGATGAGATTTGAGCACTCTATTTTTAACTAAAATACCTGTAAGATAACTATACATTAATTCAATGCGATTGTATTAATGTATAATGCCGTTCTTTTTTCTTCAGGTATATCATCAGCGAATGATGATTACTTTGTTTATTGATCTACCTGTTTACAAAATTGTTCAATTTTTTAACCATTAAATAATAAAGTTTATTATTAAAATCATTTATTCAATCATGTTGAAAACAAAGTTAAGGGGTTAAGGTTAACACATAAAAAATTCAAGGTGAAAACGAGAATAATTCAATTTCTAAACAATGTTCTTCACTTTTCAGCTTCTCTCTGCGCCCGGAGCAGCTTCAAAATGGTTAAACGGTGAAAGTGACCCTTGTTCCCTAAGGGCTCGTTTACAAACAAGTATAGCACTTGATAGCTTCGGCGTCCAAAGTAAGGTATACCAAGTTCTTCGAGGTCGGCGTCGTTAAAATTTAAGAAAGTATTAAAATCGATACCAGCACGTTGAAAATAATCAATATACTTTGCAAGGCCCAAACGGGTTAAGACCTCAGCTAAATCGAGACTATTACTCGCTGGACTACCGCAGCCTGAGCTTATGCTGCCCGATTTACTTCGTGAGGAGGAGGAGATGGGATCAAATAGGTTGCTACTACTGTTAGAACTGTTACTGAATAGTGAAGAACTGGAGGCCATTGAAGAACCAAGAGAGAGGCTTCCAGTGCAAGTTGAAAAGTCAAAACTTTGTTGTTTACGTTAAGTTTTTAATCCGTTTGAAGTTGGGTATTTCGTCGATTCCCAGAATGACGATTGAAGAGACATATCATTGGTTAAAGAGCTATTAGTGAGAAGACTGATGTTCCGATTGTTAAGCTCATTGGGAGGCTCTTCGACTGGTGTCAATTTTTCTGTCGCACGGCAACTATCAAGTCGACTTTTAAGGAGCTCGTGAGGCATTGATTTAGAAAAACCAAACCTGCCCAAGATGGGGTCAGAGTTCGAGGTTCACTTGCTTTTGGTTTGGCTTCACGAGCTGCATTAGCAGCCAAATATTTACGCTCGTTGTAATCCAATTTTCTAGGCTCTGGCCATGGAAAAGCTGTTTGAAGTATCAGAGACTGAAAAGTTACCAAAAATGGCAGGAAGACTCCTGTTAGGTGGAGGGGAAAGATCAAGGAGTGATGGAGCTGAAGTTTCACTTCCACTATTAGGTGAATTCATGCTGGAACTCGTAAGACAAGAACGGTTCATGGTAGGTGTTGTTGAGGTGGACATCAAGTTATGAGCAGATTGTATACAGCCATTTCCATTTCTATTATCCGAACTATTTTTCAACATATCAATGTTGAAAGATGGAGTATTTGGTTGAGCAGAGATTTGCTGTTGTTGATTGGCTGCTGCTGCAGCAGTAAAATTGGTCAATTGAGTAGCTAGCATGGCTTGTAAAAATCCATTAGGTCCTAACTGTGAAGGAACATTAGTTGAAGCGGCAGCGGCAAAACTTGGAAAATTGCCAACACTTGAGTAATCATTAGATGGCCAGTTAAGAAGCCCGTTAACTTGTCCACCAAGTCCACCATTATTAGGTAAACAACCAGAGGGATCAAGAGCCGATCCAAATCCACCCTTCATTGTCATCATACTTGTTGGGTTGAGGGTGCAATGAGGTAAAAATGAAGAAAAAAGTTTGGCCATCATCATAATGGTATGTTTATCACAACAATTAGGAACTTCACTCTCATCTAATTCCAATATTTGCCTTCTAACTTCAAAAACATACGTGAATCACGTTCTGCTCCCCGAACAGTCATGCATCTACCAGAATTTTGTTTAGGTTTCTGTTTAATTAGTATGGTAACTTCGTAATCCTTCATCAATTGGGTTATCAAAGCTGCATCCGTCTGTTGGCCTTCTTTCAAGTCAAAAATAAGAACTATTAGTTGAAGATAGCCCAAAAGTTCTTGCCAGGCAAGGACAACAGAATCAAAGCAGGGTCCTTTAATCATAACAGTTGATTTTCTAACTATTAAGGAACCATGAAGAGTTGTCATCGTTCTATTTTCAACAGCTACTGGATCAGGGAAATTAATAACAACACCCGTAGATTGCATGATAGACCGAATGTTGACATTTCCTCGACCCCAACAAAAGAGTGATGTTGAGAAGCGATGTCAATCACCAAGGTGAAAAGTATTGTTGGAGAGTTTTTGGTCATAGGATGGCCAAAAAGATATTCAATCAAAACCGCAATACCTTGTTTCATGGCTAGCCATTAAGCACGGGTACCTCGAACTGAAATGGATACATACTGGCACAAGAAGAACCAAAATTTCCAAAAACATTGCTTTTTCCAATGCTTCGAATGTTGATAGAGTAAGTTTGTTGAATTGTTTGAATGGCTGGTGAAGTGTGGTCAAACATTTCCATTTTATTGTAACCAACGATGGATAGCTCAAAATGTACGCTCAGCGGTAAGAGTTCTCGGATTCGACATCTAGCTTGCTCTGCACCCAGTGCAGTACCAGCAATGCTAACCTGATTACTTTTGTCAATGGTGTTGGTCCGATTAGAGTCAGGAAAATGAATATGGCAACCAGTTTCATTCATTACTTTTTGAATGGATCGACCACCTTTACCAATAATGTGAGAATGATCGGTATAAGCAACATCCATTTTAAGGGTAACACGATTTTTGCGACTATCCAAGTGATCAAGAATTTTATCCTTGGCAGACAATATATCTTCTTGTGCACCAGTAATACGGATATGTGGATCCTTCTTAGATTTAGTTCCTGGCTTCAATTTCATTGGCCATGTGATAATGGTATGTGTTTCAGCCATGATTTCATTGAAGAACTCTTCTACAGTTCCAAGTTCTTTGTTCTCGCCTGTAAAGCAAAAAATATAGACACCGAAGTTAGTTGAAGTCGATACGTTCATCGACTATCGACTAAGTCGACTCAATAACATTTGACCAAAAAAACAGCTAATTTTGTCTTTGACAATGATTTGAGAGGCTGAGCGAAATCATAAATTCGTTTAATTTTTAAAAAATTTTTAAAAGAAAGACTGAAAAGAGTGAAAGTCAGTCGAGTTAGTCGAGTCAGTCGGTAAATAATCAAAGTCGACTAAGTCGACTTTTAGTCACTCAGTCGCCATAAATTCATTAGTCAGTCAGTCGATGCAAGTATCGACTGACTTCGGTGTCTAAAAAATACATAAAATAAAGGAATATTAAAATTAAACAAAACATGATTGTATTTACGAAAAAATACAATAAAATGTAGTTTAACTGTAAAAATGATAGAACACGAAGAAACATTGAGGAGCATGATCGTTCTGGTTTAAAGGGATCAGAACAGTAGACCAAATATTACCTAAGCGTTCATGAACCATAGTAAATGATTGTGGACACAGAACCATATTTAACACAAATCACATAATCAAAATAAAAACAAATATAAAATGCAAAATGCAAATGTGGTTAGCAAGCAGCCAACAATTAAAAATAAGACGAATAAAGAAGGGGTTAGAAAAAAAAGACTTCAACTAATTTATTAAACACAACAAAATGAAACATTTTACAGTTTTGCCTGACAAAGTCAAGTCAGAAAGGGATACATAAAGAATACAACACGGAAGCATATATTGTTTATTGTTAATCGGCTAATCTTAAAAAAACCATGGATTTATTCCCGAGTTTCACTGGAAAGCAAAAGGTCAGTCCTCTTGATCGGCCATTGCCTAAGGTTAAGAACCAGGTAAGTACCAGGTAAAAACACTTTATTATCATTGCCTGTCTGATAATCCTCTTAATTGTTAATTCACAGGTTAGTGTACACTGTCCCCGAATTTTCAGAAAAAGTAAGTATTTTATATCGTGTCAGCCTGAATCATCTAATCAAAATGCATTTATTTTATATCTTCTAGATTATCTGAAATGGAGTACCATGTTGGTCAGAGATTGGTTGATTTGACAGTAGTTGGAAACCATACGCTTCCAGCACAAAAGAAACCATACGCTTCGAGCACAAAGTGAAGGTGCAATAAAAGAAAGAAAATCAAACCTTGATGCTGTTTCAGCACTCAGCAAGTTAAAGAGGTAAATGAAGAAACATGATACTTTTAGAAAGCAACTATTAAAGAATAAGGAAAAATCAAACGCCCGGGGCTGTTCTCTTGAGATTAAACAGTTCCTTAATTGCCGTGAACTCGCGAGTTAAGAGATATCATTTGATATACGAGATTAATGAAATCAATTAACTTGCTTGCAAAATTTCCTAATAATTTCATATAGCCCGGGGTAAACATTTTGATTTGAAGATTAGATAAATCATGATGATTTATCTTATCTGATTCAGGTCTCAATAAGGTAAACAAAAATTTGTGGTTTATTTCCAGAAAAGCACTTAAGATGATGACCGATAAGTTATCTTGATGAAGAATTAGTATATAAACCGAGTTGGATCTTCAGATTTATTCATTAAGTCTTCAGCTTTTGGAATTGATTTTTCTCCCAATTTTTTCTTAAACATTCTCACTCTCTCTCTCTCCTACTCTTCTCTCTCCTCTCTCTCTCTATTCATCATACAATGGCCAGCCGTACACCAGCACCAACAGCACCCTCATCAACACCAGACCCAACAGCATCCGCATTAACACCATCGATCCAAGGATCTGCAGCCGTTGGTGATCACCCAATCAAATCGATCAAACGGCGTGGATATATGAACGTGAAGGTGCTCGGACCCTGGTTGGCGTTGCCGAGTGGGAGGACACCTTGGTGATAATAAAGGATACCAACCGGCTGGAAGCCAACGCAGGTGAGGCGGATGACGCGAGGCCCCTTGGTTTACTGCCCGGTGACTTCAAGCTGGTAAAAGCCTTCGATGAAGACGATATTACCGGTTATACTCGCAAGTACACCTGCCGCTACTGTGGCATAGGCCTCAGCTGCAGGGCTAGTGGTATCCGCCACGAGCAAAAATGCAATGCCGAAGGGGCCCCTGGTCATGTTTGCGTTGTGCCGCCGTGCACGACCGACTGCATCGGTCCATCAGTATGGACTCGCCCGCCTGATGGCCTAATTCTATGGTCTAATTCTGTTATTTGCTTTTTAGACTTATGATGAAAACTGTTTCTTTTCCGAATAAATATTGTGCTTACTCTGCACATGAAGAAATAATTGCTTAAAATATTTCATTTCATTTCATTTATCTCACAATTAACTGAGTTCATTTTTGTCTCGTTTTAAACGATATCTTTATAAAGAATACATTTCCAAATTGGTGAATCTAAAAAAAATTTTTACAATTTTTACCATGCATTCTCGATGGATAGCGATACAGTAGAGAAATATAAAAGTAAAAAAAAACTGATTTGACCTACCAGAAACCAGAAAAAATATCAAAAAAAAGATAGAGAATACATTTCGAAACTTATGAATCGAAAAAAAATTTTCTGGCGATACAGTAAGGAACAAAACTTGAAAATTTTTTTTTCAAGTTTTGTTTCCTTACTGTATCAATACCCATAGAGAATGCATGGTAAAACTTAGAAACAAAAATTTTTTTTGTATTTACAAGTTTTGACATGTATTTTCTAACTGAATTTTCAATGCATAATTTTTTTGTGGTTGAAACGCGTGGTACTTATCTGATATTTCTGAAATTATAAAAAAGAAGCGAAATCAGTTATTTAAAATTATTTATTTGTTTTCTTCAAAATCATTTTAAATGCATTTGGTATAAAAATTTTAATATTTATCTTGCCCTGACTTTCGGGCTGCTAGTGATCTGCCATCAGACGGGCGAGTCAAGACTGATGGGCTAATACAATACAGGGCGGTACGGCACAAATATGGTTGGGTGCCCCTTCGGCGTTACACTTTTTTTCATGACGAATGTCGATGGTCCTGGTGCTGAGACCTGTATCACAGAAGCGGCAAGTATAACGTCGAACATACCCAGTCACGTCTTGACCAAGTTGAAGTCTTCTGGGAGCAAATCAAGACTCTTTCTATTGTAAATAAATATTTTGCTCACCATGCACATGAATAAATAATTGATAAAAATATTTAATTTCATCTATCTCACAATTAACTGATTTCATTTTTCGCGTTTTAGTCGATATCCCTAATCTCGCAAATCCAACATAAACTATTGAAATGTCTAATCTAGCGAGATCAGCCCGGGCGTTTAATTTTCCTTATTCTTTAATTAATTTGTTTTTTCATTTAGCTCTTAAACTTGTTGAGTGCTGAAACCGCATCAAGGTTTAATTTTCTTTCTTTTTATTGAACCTTCACTTTGTGCTCGAAGCGTATGGTCTCTTTTGTGCTGGAAGCGTATGGTTTCCAACTACTTTTGACATTTATTCGGGAGAAGAATTACAAAAGAGAAACGAAATTAATAAATATATTAATATTCAAGACTTTGTGGCAAACGCTTTTTGCAAAAGATGCGGATAAATTGGAGCATTCTAATGACGATCCGATCACCTGTAAGTTAGAGTGTCCACTATGATTTGCGATATTAATTACACTGTCTTTCCCATCATTAGATTATATAATTGAAAGTGACCCGATTGTTAACAAATATATCTCTTACAACAGGTAACTCTCGATTTCAATTTTTTATTTTTCTAATTATTTGCGAATAATTATTATACAATGCCCATTTCAATAATTTCATCTTTTTCATTTATAGGGATGAAGGAAGTTTAAATTGTGCATCGTTCATAGGAGGAATCATAGCAGCTGCTCTCAATGAAACTGGATTTGTATGTATTAATATAAATGTTTATTTCATCTCAAGATTGACATCATTCTCTATTTTTACAGAATGCTAAAGTGACAGTTCATTGGCACAAAGGGACAACTTTCATGATAAATTTCGATCAAGCTACCATTGACCGGGATAAGGCTGAAGAAAGAATCTTGATAAAAAATTTATCAGCAAAATGTAATTTTTTTGAAAACAAAATCCATTATGAAAAATTACAGAGCTTTTAAGTCACACCTATTTATTGTCTTCTCAAATTTTCGAGGCTAAGCAATCAGATCAGCATCAGCATCATCCCGTAGAACAGCGGGGGAGCTGCTCGGTACTCGATTGAGATGTTCCAACAGGTAATGAACCACCAAAAGTTGGGATTTCACTTAATTTTTCATTTACCTGGATACCAAGTTCATCTAACACCTGAGCAACAATAGTATTGCTCTCCTCCTCGTAATCATTCATAATTTCTTCTTTGATGTCCATTATTTCTGTTTGCTTTTCAAATTCAGCCCTTATCTTTTGAATTTGAGGTAAATTCATTTACCTATTCATAGACATCAGGGCTTTGGTGACTCCTTTCATGGCTACAGCCATTGAATTTTGAATTCTGAGAGTTTGAATTTTACGGGCAACTGCTTGAATATTTGCTTTCATCAGGACGAATTTCTTGCTAAACCTTCTGATACGCAGCTCGCAACAAGGCAATTATTTCGATCAATCAGCGAGTCCAAGAGGGCAATTAAGGCAATTACTGGCCACAAACATAAGTTTTTTTCATCTAATGTTCATGGTGCGAAAATTCGTAAAATATTTTTAAATACTGTTTTTTCAAAAAACTTGAGCATAATGCATAGAGAAATGCCTAGACTCGCCATGAAAATGCCAATAACTTTTTTTAATCAAAAAACGGGCACCTATTATTTTTCACTTTTGGTGTACCCCTGATAAGCTATCCAAAAATATATATTTCATAAAAAACTCGAGCGACAGTTCGTGCCGATCCCTTGTGAAACCAAAGATACTTGAGCAAATTGATACTCGCCGGCTTTAAATAGTGTTGATGAATGTGAATTATGCCACTTGTTGACTCAAATTAAATTAGTTAAATCTATATTTTTCAGTGTCCTTGGAATCATGGCTGACAGTCAACAATAAACAACCACTTTTTTCAAAAATCCAGACCATATTGAATGTTTGAAATACTGTTTACTTGCAAAATTAGCATGTTTAATTGTTCAGGTAAGTGTTTTTTGTCGATTTTTACTGTAAATGTTTTTTTGTCATTTTCATTTATCAACAGGTTGCTTCCATCAATATTTTGCCTACTCATAACGCTGATGCTTTTGTTCCGCAAAATTTTTTGCAAAATCAAACGACAATCAATGCTATCGTAAACGCAACGCTGGTGGGTTTCAGTAGGTGGGACTCTTTGCATTTCTTGCACATCGCAAAGAGAGGATACTCTCACGAATCACAGATCGCATTTTTTCCGTTTTACCCAGGAGTGGTTCGCGCACTTAAATATGCTTTATTCCCCTGGGCGGAATCTTCGCATGATGGTTTGTTCATAATAGCCAGATTAAAGTATTTAATACCACCCAATGATGGCGTTCTTATTGGCCCACATACATCTGAATGGACGAGATCAAGAATACCTCAGCTTTAATGGATCACCGTGTAAAAGGTGAAGTCGTTGATTTGCATTTCAAACAAGTAACACGTTGAAATGTCCCGGATACGCCTTCATTCAATCCATTTACCATCGATTTACTTCTCATAAGTTTAATTGCTTCTACCCCGTGTCCCAACAGCTTTTAAAAAGTAAAATTCAAATAACTCGAAAATGGTTCGAGCTTTTTTCACTAGATTTAGCATGATTTTTAATGACCATACCGGAATTACTTTTGCTAAAAACTGGCCGAATCAGAAGACCAGAAAAATTGTTATCATTGCGTTCATTTCAAGCGATTTTACATAGATAATAATAGACTTTGTGATACACGAGTTTATGAATTTGGACATGAGGCAATTTAGTGTCGATTAGAAGCTAATTAGTTCTTTTAGAAATAGAAATAAAGCAGAATTAATCTCACTGGTAGTGAAATTTGAGACACAGAAGAAATAATTAGCAGAATATTCCAACGATTTTCAGCTTAATTTTCGACTCTTCCGGGACATTTTTTGACCTCACAAGGACAAAATTCAATGGATACTTTTAGAAATCTAGTTGATTGATTTCCGGATCTTCATAAATTATGAAAAGCTTAAATTTGTTACGATCTGATTTTCTATTCAAAAGTTATTCAAATTTTATCTTTAAAAAGCTGCTGGGACACGGGGTAGGTTAAGATGTTTAAGCCTCCGATGTAATTGATAAAGCTCTGATGAAGTAGTAATTGTCGCCAATTTCCCATTAGAGGTTGACTGATCAAATATTCATTAAGGTAAAGGTCATTAAGGTTTTTTTACATATCATCAATGTTTGACCTTCTGCACCAATCACCTTGGCTTGCCTTTTCTCAAATATAACAATATTATCATTGTCTGTAATTTTTGCAACAGACAAATAATTGCTTTCCAAACTAGGTACATAATGGGCTTTATTTATTCTGAACGCTCTCCCGTTTATTGAGTGTTCAATGTACCGACACAAGAAACTTCCAATTCTTGACCGTTGGCCACAGTAACATAGGATACTTCTGATTCAGCAATATTCGTCAGTTCATCCATGGAGGTAACATAGTGTTTTGTAGCTCCAACATGTTGCTAATGATAATATTAATAGTGTAATCAGCATCGGCTATAATGTATACCATAATTTCATTCGGTGCACCCTCCTGGATCATTGACAATAATATGTCCTAGTAACAATTAGGGAGTTTTCACTTTGTTTGAATTGTTTCATAGATTTTGTCAACAATAGTAATATCAAATATGATGCTAGCATCACTTATGAATATACCAAGAAGAAATATAATAATTGTGAATTTCTGACTTTTTCTAACCCATCTTTATCGTTTCTGTATCCTCAATTTTCTTTGTTTTTTTCGTAAATATCTCAAGAACGGTAACTCAGATCGAAAAATGATTTACAATTTCAGAATCAGCATAAAAAATACACAAGACAAAATTATTTAAAAAGTAATCTGAAAACTTTTGACATCATCCTTATTATTATGCCTAATATCACATTTGTGCAATAGTAATTTTTGTCTCTTATTTTTTCTTAATTATTCCGACACCAGCCAACCTTCATCATTTTTGTTAATTTACCCTTTCTCCTCAATGCACACCTTAAATATTTATCTTTGATTGTTGTTTGGTCCACCTCTTCCTACTTTAAACCATCTTTTTGTTGTTTTTTTTCATTTTCCTTGTATTGTTTTTTTTGTTATAATTTGTAACTGCTTGTCACACCATCTTTAAATCACCACCATTGATCACCAAAGAATCTCTGTTTATCCCTTTATTTTTGATCATCTTCATACAAATTGAGAACTAATTGGGACCCATTAAGGAAGCAAAGTCAATTATAAAAAGAAATTTTTAGTTTTTTAAAACACAATCGACTCTCAAATCAGTTCTCAACACAATTCCATCAGCACTTAACAAACCCGATACATTGGTTTCCGTAAGCTTGTCGTGGAGCAAATAAAGAATCTTAAACGTGTCTTGTCTGTGTTAACTCACCTTAAAAAATTTTCCATGGATTCAGCATCAATTGATTCAAATAGTAACACCATCGATGAAGCTAGTAACGTTAAATCTGAATCAATCAGTGGTTCATTTGAAGAACGAGTTAAAGTAGATAGGAAAAAGTTTGAACAGATTATAAACGGTAAGATTTTGAATCATTAAACACCAGGCGAAAGTAAAATGTATAACACTTTGAATGATTATCACTGATAAGAAAATGTTAAATTTGCTAACCTTTGTGTCAACCTTTTGATAGTTTCACCAAGTTTACACTGGTTTACTTAACTTGCTTTGTTCTTCAGCTCGAGTTTATTCTATTCTATTTAACATGAAGTACATATCTTTTAATTTTCAATACTAAATCTGTTGGTTTCAAATGATAGTGGAACAGCAATAAATTGCTAATTAATTCAGTTTAATTATTATTCAATAACAAACGACAATAGTGATTGGAAAACAACATTACTGTTTTAATCCCCTTAAAGGTTTCACATTGCATGTTTATCTTGCATGACTTTCTTTTTATTAACTGGACGTTAACAATTAACATTTTAGTGAGAATTGGACAATTCATCTTCCCTTTAGTTTTTCGGTGTCCTGTAAACTCGCCACATTTAAGCTTCTAAACAAACAGAGAGTCAAACCCTTTTACAACTTTAAAGAAATCTCGCCACTAATTGTTACAGCTATGGCAAGTAAATTATCAATTTTGATTAAAAAATTCGTGTACAAAGATCAAGCTCAAGCTGAATTTATTCAATTTCATATCATTTTGGTAGCTTTTGTATTAATTCGAAAGAGACATTATCGTGCTTCTATCGATTCATTGAAAGAAATGTCCTACAGGATAGTTCTGTTGCAAGCTAAGCAGCCAAAAAATTCAAAAAAAAAGCTATAATGTTGTAACGATTAAAAAGCACATTAGAAATTAAACTTGAATAAAACAAAACACACTTTACCATACAAACAACATGTTTTCTCCAGCTTTTTCCGCCATCTAGTTTCTCTAATATTAACCCCATATTAAACCAATGTAAACCTACCTATCATTAAACAGGTAACCATATTAACATTTGTAAACATAAATTAAGTTGCCAAAAACCTCACTGATCAGATTAATGTAATTTATACCATACTTATTGTAACCATTGACTATATTTTAAACATACCAAAACCAGCCTGTACAACCCAATGCTCCATAGGGACATATATATGAACCTAAGGAAACCTAAAATCATCAGTTGAATAAAGTTCAATTTCCAGTTTAACCTTTCGTTTCCAGTGCTGCCCTCTACCGTCTCCCATAATATTCAACTAGCAAATAGTGAGTTTATGGGCTGAATCCCCTTTCTTTTCCTCTCTCTTTTCCTCTTTCTTTTCTCTTTCTTGCTCTTGACTGTTGCCCTCTCGATCAACCGTCACAATGTATTCAATTAAATAACGATTCTCGATACAAAAGCTACGGGGACCAGCTTTTTCCACCACATTTTCAAACAATTTTTCATAAGATTATCCACCACTCACTTTTACACCATCTAACACATCCACTTTTGGGATAATATGTCAATTAACAGTGGTCAAAAATTCGGTTGATTTGGGTGGCGGATAATCTTATAAAAAAATGTTTGAAAATGTGGTGGATGAAAGTGATGGAAAAATGTGGTGGAAAAAAGTGGTGGATAAAGTGGTGGATGTGGTGGAAAAAAGCCGGTCCCCTACGGCGAAGCTTCTCGAAAACTGGTTTTGAGCAACATTAATGAACAAAGAGAAAAGAGTCTCTTCAAAGGCAACAAGTGATCTACTTTTGGTCCACCATTTTTTGTGCTTAGATGAGGATCTCAATGTTCATCTAATGAATTAATTATTTATAAATTATACCAAAGACATAAAATTTTCATCTTAAAATGAATGAAAACAATAATTCTGATAAAAGTAAGTTTCGTTTGTTTTTCAATTCAGGTTTAAGATAAATGATTCTTTATGTTTAGTTACAATAAAAGTGAGACACTCGGATGAGGATTATCATGATATTACAATTGATTGGTCAAATGAAAGTTTTGATTACAGGAAACAAGTGTTGCATCAGGTAAGTCAGAAGAAAAGACAATGAAATGAATAATTTCTTATTAATATTTTGCTTGAATTTATAGTTATCAGCATTCACAGGCATACCAGTCAAATATCAAGCGTATGTTGCAGTAACTGGTGTAGGACTTACATCTGTCGACTTGGGCAACCCTGAATTCGGTGATGAGTAAATGATTTATTTATGAATTTTATTCAACTTTTTTGAGCTTTTGCAAAATTTAAATACTCTAATTAATTCTTTAGAGAAGGATTGGGATACACGCTTCCGGATAAAAAAGAGGATGCAATGGAGTATATTCAGGATGGCGCTTGTTATCTTTTCAAAACAAATCTATTCATCGACCAAAAATACGCTCCTACTGATCCTAGTATTATCTGTGCCTATATGCTGACTCATCGTGATCTGGTCAATGAAAATGGTTGCAACTTCTATTATTGTCAGCACAGGGGTAGTCGTTTCTTCACTCAGAAATTTTCAGAGGTCATTAAATCCGAGCACTTGCAGACACTTCTGGATGCAAGAGTTGAAGGACAAACACAGGAAACTTTAACAAGAATTAAATTAAATCTCAATATTGAACACCTTACTCGCCTAGACTGCCTTCGATCTTTCGAATCTCATGGACCAATTAATTATCCGTTCCCTGATTACTATTTGCGTTACCGAGGTTAATGAAGATATACACAGTTAAAACTTAGAATCTAAGTTATTTTCGGTTACGTGATTATTACTTGCGTTATCGAAGTTGATTAAGAATGCTTTTGCAGTTCATTATCAATCAAATAAACTGACTTATATCAACTTTTTGCATTAAAAGATGCAAATTTCAAAAACATTTGACTATTTGGCTATTTTTATCAGTAAATGCTCCCTCATTTCTGGTCGGATCTGATTTGAAAAATGGATTCTGATGATATTGGAACAGCAGATTCACTCAAAGTGTGAAAAGGACGTGCTGATTATCCACCAATTCCATGAGTCATTCCACCAGTCCGAGAGTTTGGCATTAAATCAGAAATTTTATTGTGAAAATTTACATTAATGGGTACGAGTACTTTTTTGAAGAGATTCGGTATCGCAAATGGTTGAATTACAGGAAAGAGAAAGCGGCTATGCTTCAGCCTGTTCCATCAATTCCAGTTCAAGATTTTACAATTTACAAACTTTAACCAATTCTTTAGAATTCTTGAGGACAGCATAATAGTCCAGAGTTAAGGTCGGGAGAGTCACCTTAGTTACATTCATAGAAACATAAATACAAAATACAGCAAAGAATCTTGAAAACTGGTTTTTAGAGACATTTATGGAATTTTTGATTACAAGAAACAATTGAGGCATCAGGTAAGTCAATAGAAAAGACAATGAAATAAGTAATTTCTAATTTATATTTCTATCAGTAGTTATCAGCATACACCGGCATTCCAGTTGGATATCTACTTTATATCGACGTGCAAGCTCCACATCTAACGCGGTTATGCGGTTACGGTTACCTAAACACCGAATTGATTGATGAGTAAATGATTTATTTATGAATTTCATTCAACTTAGTCATTGAGCTTTTCCAAAATTTTAATTCTCTCTATTGATCCTTCAGGGAAAGGCGGGTTCGGGAGTATGATTTCAACAATGGATAATCTTCACGATGGCAATTGTTATTGGAAGATATTCGCGTTTTGAACTATTGAACTAGTATTAACGAAGTATTGAACTACATAGAGGAATCTAGGGTCTGTCATGGCACTAATTTGGTCAAAAAAACTTGAAGATTGCGTAATTGGTAATATCAGTGGTATTTCTTGGGTCAGTTTAAGATGAAGCATTCGAAAAAAGTGTCGATATCTTTTAGAAATTTGAAAGTTAACAACAAAGGAGAAGTGCTTATTAGCCAAATGTATCGAGATGACATTGGCCGTAATGCAGTTGATGCTTTCCGTGTTAATGTTATTCATGCTCACCAGCAAGTACGGTCACTGGTAACAAATATTGCAAGAACGTCTTTTTCCATATTAAACGAAGTAATTTATGGTTAGTGGCAGTTACTAAACAAAATTTAAATGCTTCAATGGTATTTGAATTTTTACTGAAAATGTGTGAAGTAATGCAAAGCTATTTTGGTAAAATAACTGAAGAGAACGTTAAAACTATTTTGTTCTCATATATGAGTTATTGGATGAGATTCTTGATTTTGGTTATCCACAAAATACTGATACAGGAATACTGAAGATATATTTATTACTCAACAAGGTTTAAAATCTCAGACAAAAGAAGAACAATCACAAATAACTTCTCAAGTAACTGGACAAATTGGTATGTTCATTTTATTACAGTAAACCCTCTCAAATTGTCAGTCGTGGGATTAGCATCTTAGCATATTCTGACAATTGTGTTTTTTTATTCTTAAAATTTTTAGGTAGGAGAAGATAAGGTATAAAATATCGTCGAAATGAGCTATTCCTTGCGTACTCGAATATGTAAATCTATTAATGTCACCACAGGGGCAAGTTTTGAGTGCCCATGTTGCCGGTAAAGTTGTAATAAAAGCATTCTTATCTGGTATGCCTGAGTGGAAAATCAAGAAAATGGCTGGTATGAAGGAGACACAATTAAGTGCTGAAATTGAACTTTTATTGACAGATACAAAGAAAAAATGGAATCGACTACCAATATCTATGAACTTTGAAGTACCATTTGCTCCTTCTGGTCTTAAAGTTAGATATTCAAAAGTATTTGAATCAAAACTCAACTATTCCGATCATGATGTTTTTAAATGGGTTCGTTATATTGGCCGCAGTGGACTCTATGAAACAAGATGTTAAACATAATAAGGAAAAGGTGAAGGAGAAAATGATGAAGATAAAGAGTAAGAGGAGGAAGAACAATAAGAAGAAGAAAATACAAAGTGGCAACATTTAGTCGATATCATTGATCTAAACTATCAAATTACATTGTATCACAACTTTAATCGAGTTGATCATGAAATGGTTGATTAAATATTGGAACAAAAGCAACAGTTACGATGATAATAGAAAAACGATAATTTAAACCCGGTGAAACACCTACTTTTTAACTTGTATTAATTTTGCGTGTTAACTGTTCATTATAATTTAATTCATGGGTTATCTAATTAATTTTAATCTAAAGTGTCAATTTTATTTATTTAAAGTGGTTGGATGATTTAGTGTGAACTTTGGCTACAATCTTTTTTGAGATACAATATTCAATTATAATGTCTAATGAATAATAATGAATAATATCCTTCAATTTTTGTTTTTTAACATTTGTTGGTGGTTACAATGGGGAAAAGATTCAACAAGGTATATTCATTTTGAATGAGAGCATGAAAAGTTCTTTATCGAGATTCTCTTTTCTCTTTTCTCGCATGTTTTTCTTGTGTTCTGCTTTCTTTTGGCGAACTGAATCTTTGGCAGTTTTGTATTCTTTCTCAATAGTCTCTAGACGCCGCAGTGTCTCTTCTTTTGTCTTTTTATTTCTTTCCAGCCTTTCTGATTCGTCTTGTTTATCTGCAGATCACGGAGATGAACTTCCAACTCGCCATTATTATTCCTAATTTCCTGAATCTGAGCTGATTGTTCCTTTTCCATTTTATCGCTTCTTTTCTTCAACTCTTCGATATGAGCTTGCTTTGTCTTGCATGAGAATTTGATGCTTTCGATTTCGTTTTCCAATAAAACAATCTTTTCTTCAGATGTTTCCAATCTTTCTTTCAATTCATGGTAAGTTTTTTCTATCGAAGGCAGCTCTCCTAGTTTGGTCTTCATTTCATCAATTTTCTTACCCATATTAATAAATGAAGTCGTTTTCTCCATATTTGAGTAAATCAATTTAACCATCTTTGCCTTTTCATCTTCTTCAATAGCACTTGCTTCTTGTTTCATCTTTTCAATTTCCATTTCTATCTGCTTGATATTTTGCTCTCGATTATTGATTTCCGCTTCTAATCGCTCGTTCTCGACTTTACTTTCCGCGTTTTTAGCATTTATTTGCTCTTCAAGCAGGTCAGTTTCTTCTTCAATTCGCAAATTGGCAGCGAATTCGTTTATTCAATAGATTCGGACACATCAACTGCATTTTTTGATTTGGTCATTACTCATGGTGGGAACAATACATTCTTGGAGACAATTTATGCTGGAAAACCTTTGATTGTGGTTCCCTTTTTCATGGATCAACCTGATAATGCTCAACGAGCTGTTGATTGTGAAATTGGCTCTCGAATCAACCTTTATGAAATTGAAGAAGTTAAAGTTTTAAACACTATCGAAGAAACATTATCGAACCCATCATATGCTGAGAAAATTGCCAAAATATCTGCTTCTATGAAGTCACCGAAAAACAAAGAGAATGTTGTCCGAAAAATAGAAAATTTCATGGAAAATAATCGAAAGTAATAACTGAAAACTGTTTGAATTAAATAAGAAAATGTTCAATTAAATTGAATCTTTAATAATTTTTCACTATTCACTATTCACATGAATATCTCTTCGACTTTGGTGTTAGCCTTGAATTTTAATAATCTATACATCTATACAATATATAAAGTCAAAGTATCAAATTTTTGCGTCAAGATTGTGGCCAAACTGAGCGGGTTCCAAGAAAAAAAATTACACAGTCTGAAAGCCCTGATTCAACTACAACGACGAAAAATAGGAAACCTAACCTCAGAACTTCATGACCTCTGAGAAATTCATGAAAATAGAGGATGGGGGAAAAAATGTAGAATCCGTATCCAATAACATTGAGAGAGGGGGAAAAACTTTTTTGTTATTCAAGTTGATGGTTGATTGTTGGACCAGGATTTTATGTTCAACTTTGTCATTTGAGTAAGGAGTAAAGAGGGGAGACGGCTTTTTTCACCAGTTTTTTCACCGGTTTTTCACCGTATTGTCCACCACTCAATCCAACACATCTACCAAATCAACAAAATAAACAAAATCAAACAACATCACTTTTTGAAGAAACTTTTCTCAACAAAATTGTCCATCACTTTAGAGTGGCTTTTTCCACCACTTTTTTCCGCCACATCTTCAAACAAATTTTTATAAGATTATCTACCACCCAGAACTCAGATTCTTGATAAAATTATTTTCATTTTTATTTTTTTTTAATTAATCATTTTGACCACTTTTACACCATCTAGCACATCCACTATTAATCACTAAAGTGGTGGATTTGGGTGGTGGATGATCTTATATAAAAATTGTTTGAAAATGCGTGTGAAAAAAGCCACTCTAAAGTAGTGGACTATTTAGTGGACAATTTCGTTGAAAAAAGTTTCTTTAAAAAGTTATGTTGTTTGATTTAGTTGATTTGGTAGATGTGTTGGATTGGGCGGCGGACAATACCGTGAAAAGACGGTTAGCATGGTGGTTAAAAGAAATTTACGATCAGTCATGATCGTGCCTCAGCTTGTAATTGATAATAATAATGGTTTTCAGGCAATGTAACAAAAATCAATCAAAAATGAAAGCTAGAGTACATCATTTATTGAAAGGAAATGATAAAATAAATTGAAAGCCACCAAAAATTATAAACCTACACAAAATATAAAAACAAGTGATTACATTTATATTTTCCTTATCATTATCATTTCCATCTTTTTCTTTTCATTGAAATTCACAGAAACTTCAATAAAACTGTTTATAGCAAGGTTCAGGATATCATAAAAAATCATAAAATGCATTGAAAGGTTGAAGAAATAAATATTTCATTAAAAGCCATTGTTATGATAATTTATGATAAGCAAGTTTTGTTGTTTTCATTTAGATGGAGATAATTTTTGAACAATCCATTTGAGTACGAAAATTATTCCTCGTTGAGAATCAACAGGCTTGAGAAATATCTATACCATATATAAAGTCAAAACATGAAATTTTTGCGTAAAGATTGTGGCCAAACTAAAAGGATTCTAAAGAAAATTTTTTCACAGCCTGAAAGCCATGATTAAACTACATCCACGAAAAATAGTCTGAACTTCATCGGAATTCAGGTACCTGAGAAATTAGCGTTCAAACAGGGTAGGGGAAAAAATGCAGAATCCGTATCTTTCACAATTGACTTTGGGGGAAAAATGTTTTGGTTGTTCAGGTTGATTGTTGGTTTATTGTTTTAGAAGGATATGTAAAACCATTTTTCGAGCAAAGAGTTAGGTAAAAAATATGTTGTCTCAACTGTTGAACCAGATTTTATTTTATTTTTTCTTATTGACAATGGTTTTTCATCAATAATTTGAGTCTTTAAATGTGGATTGGATTTTTTTGTATTCAGTGAAAAGAAATTTACGATCAGTCAAGATCGGGGCTCAGCTTGTAAAAGTAAAAACCAATCATCCAAATATAGCTTTGATTAATCATCATATCCATTTTATTGGATTACCAACATTAGTTAGCATCGTTTTTAAATGCATAAACAGTTGTTTGTTTATAAGTTTGATTTCGACGCAAAATAACGTATTTCTCCCATCCAGGAATGTTTATAGCATTTGGTGGACGTTGAGCCTCCAAACAGAAACCATAATGTTTATCATATTGAATGTCACTCTGGTGTGGATAGCTTTTGGTTGGGATTGAAGGATTAAGAAAATTTCCTGTGTAAAATTGGAATGCTGGCTCAGTAGTAGACATTGTCATTTTTATTCCTGAACTTGGACATGAAACACTGATGGCAGGAATACATTGTGATTCACTCTTTGGATCGTCCTCTTTATAATCTGGAACCAAATAACAATCATCATAACCACCAATTTGCTCAATGAAATCACCAATCTTTTTGGCTTTGGTAAAATTGAGAGCAGGATTATCTTCAACATTTATGATTTTTCCATTTGCTGTCAATGAGTCATCTTTTTCCAAGACTCGGTTGCAATCGGTTTGTACAATATGGTTGACAACTGTTAAATCATTAAGGTCTTTGAATCCACTCAAATTGAAATAAGTGTGATTTGTTAGATTAACGATTGTTGCTGCAATATCCTTTTCTTCGTCATCATTGATCAATTGAGCCTCATAATTTAATGACAGCTCCTCAGAGTCATTTACCGCATATTCAATGGATACTTTTAGAGTCCCTGGGAAACCACAATCACCGTTTGGGGAAAGAATCGAAAATTTAATTGAGCTTGCGGTTTGATTTTCTACAGTCCAAGGCCGGTGGCTAAAAGAAACTTTTCCTCCATGCAAGCAATTAGGACCGTTGTTAGCCTCCAGCGAGTAGCTCTTGCCATCAATTTTAAAAGACGCATCTCTGATTCTATTGGAATAATGACAAAATTAGACGAATAAATTAGTAAAAAATTCAGAAACAAGCAACCAACTAATATTATTAGGAAGATTCAATTTAGCTTACCTGCCAGCAACTCGGCCAACTACACACCCAAAGTATGGTACATTCTTGTCAATGTAATCGCTTGGTTGTGGTAAGCCAAGGACAATATCTCGTTCCTCGCCGTTTTTATCGACTACATAGAGATTTTTAATCGAAGCTCCAACACTGATTACGGATGCTTTAAGTGATCCTCGTTTGTTGGAAATGGTGTAAGCGTCGTACATCTTTAACTAGTACAAGCAGTTGAAATAATCGGTTAAGCTATTAAATGATAAAGATTATTAGCTTATAATTGAGATCAATACTGATTCAATGTGGAAAAAAGACAAATGGATTAAACAGATGAAACAAGCAGTCCCCGTTGAGATGAAGAAATGCAGCTAAAACGGGTTGAGTATCAAAATTGACAACACAATCAAGCAGAGGCACTGAATAAAACACAAAAGCAGAAGAAAAGTACCAACAAAACCAGCAGCCAAACAGATGATAATTTTCTTGTTTATCTGTCTTCATCTTGAGACGAGCTAGCTGAGAAGCAATTAAAAGATTGCCGTAATACTTTAAGAGTAGATGTTGATGAGCAAGGTGTCGATGATTTACTTGATAGGTCAGAATTTTCCATCTTATCCTTTACTGGCGAAGGCTTACGTATCCGGTTGAAATAAATTTGCTGCATGACAAATTTCAAGCTGATTTATTAGAAGATAACAATAAGACGACGAAAAACAAGCGATAAACAAAAAGAAACAGTTGGAGGAAAACTATTAGAAAGGAACAATCATAGATCAAGAAACAGATAACGTGTCAAGCAAACAAAAATGTTGAAGATTGTTGAAAATTAAAATATAAATTCAATACAAACAGAAAATTACCTGTTTTTGGAACAATTGAAATCAATCTTTAATTAGTTGATCAACAATTGAATTTGAATCGAAAGTTGATTCAATTTTCTACATTGAATGTAAGAAAAGCTAACAACAGAGGGCAACATAAACCTTAACATACAAAATACGAGCTGTATTGCCATCTTTTATCCAGAAAGTCTAACTTTGATTTACAATTTGCATATCAATAATTAAACTGTTAACAAATTATTATCCGCTCTTATCTAGTCTATCCTGACTTTGAGAATCATATTTTTCCTGCTTTTTCTTGAATCAGGTTGATTAGGAATTATTCATCTAGTTAATTAGGTGAGTCCGCAATTTACATGTTGACTATCACATGAATTGCGGGTAGAATTCATTAAAAAGTTTCAAGGCATAATTTTTGAGTGATAACTTATTGTTACAAACCAAACAATGAAATTCAATTAATAATCATTCGTAATCATATCTCGATGTATCTTTCACCCAAAACTATTAATAACATTGAATTTTTCATCAAAAATTTAACGCCTTTAAGCTGAAACTCTAATTGATCTAGAAATATCTCAATATTTTCAGATTTTAAAATTTAACAAAAGTTTCTTGCAATCAAATGGTTTTCAATTTTTTAAACTAATTTTGTTTCACTTCGATCAAAGTCAATCTCAGCAGATTCATCCAACTTCGGTTGTTTGTTTGAAATCATTTCGAGACTTAAATTATTTAATCTTTGACGAACCGATAACTTTGTTATTCAATTTCTTTCAAGATTCAAAGCACTAATATTATGTAAAGTGAGGTGCAGTTGGCAATCCAGGAGAAGAGATTGAATCCAGAAGCTTTTGCATATTTTGTGTCATAAATTCGTAGCTGTTGGTGAAAAATTACTAAAAGGTGAACTATTTCTAGCGACTTAATTGTTTCAAAATGTCTTCATTCATACGGGAAAATGTATCATCGGTAACACTTGTCAATCTAACATGAATTGTTATAAGGTTTGTGATTTTAACAGTCTTTCACTTACATTGTATTTCATTTGCTAATAACGAATCTTGTGATCTCATGCTTAGCTCAATATGTGATAATTTTGAAGGTTTTATCGATTCTCAATCTTCCACTTGTCAGATTCTGGCAATGCATTTTTCGTTCACCTTAAGAGGTTTTGTTCATATTTTGATAAAGGCGAGTTTTATCTGATGATTTATCTTTCAGCTTCCAAATAATTCTACGTCACCTATTCATTTCTTTTAGGTGCAGATAATCAAGTTGAAATGAGAATGAAACCACCAATTAACAAAATGGTCTGTTTTAAGAAGATTTCAGCTCAAATTACAACATATATCGACACTTCTCATGCAAAATGAAAGCATTTATCCAAATTTTCCTGATATAAAGATGTCTTCGATTCCATAAGCCTTTCATGCATCTTTCGTTAGTATTTTACCAGATAGCTTTTGAAACTAAGCATATATTTTAACCAATTCCTCACGCCATGATCAATGAGACCATCTTAAATTTACTCAATGATTTTCCGATTGAAACCAATTTTAAATGCTTTTACTAATACTTAGTTCTTGTTTTCATTATCGCCAAACACCTGACAAATTCATGTTCAAATTGTCAATTCGTCAAAATATCACCTACAGAACTCATGAAAATCTTCATATCTAGTATTTATGCCACCAGTACTGTTTACTGTCGCTCATCTGGTAATGATTGTTATGGAAGTTTAAATCAAAATAAATAACTTGTTTACATAATTTGCTGAAAAATATGCGATAAATACCAACGCATTGTTTTCATATTTCTAGCGTTGTTCAATTGAATCCGATTACTAATCAATGATTAGGGGTAGTATTGATTGTCTGAAAGGCTTTCAATATTTACAGTTGATTCATGCTAATAAATTAATCTTTAGTCAGAAATTTGAAGCGGATATAAATTTTTTGCTCAGTTTTTTGCAACATTAAATTCATAGGAATTGATAGCTGGAAACAAAAATAGATATTTGAAGCTGGATTATACAAATGTATGAAAAGCTTAAAATGCATAGTTTTCACCTTCGCTTTTTAATGCAATTTGATTAAGCTTTTCACCAATTTATGAACCCTATTCATATGAATTTGCTTACAATCTTTAGCCATACTTAGGTAAATCAATTCATGAACTGGAAAATCACTTAAAGCACCATTTCACTGTGATAACTGGAATCCATATTAGTGTGATAGGCTAGGTAGAGTGAATAATTATGAATTGTGTTCATTTATAAACTCAACTATCTTGATCAGTTTAATCAAGATATTGGCTTAACAAGTTGACTTGGATCAGTAATGCAAAATCAGCTCATGTTGTCTTAATGATTGCCTTTTCTAATTAGGGAGCAGTTTAGTAACCAATGTAACAACGAAATATGATTCTTGGAAACTGTATAATAACTTGAAGGAGCTCGAGTTTCCAACCTAAAATTGTCAAGTCTTAACTGAGTCATCAATGGGTTTACTTGATCTGGCTCACATTGAGTCATAGACTTTGAATGGTGGTCCAATTTTTCACCAGCACCACCCTGCTTTGAGTTTAACTACACTTGCTTTCAGTGTATCACGGGTTGAAATGGTGATCTACAAAAAGTGAATGCCAAAATGTTATTAAGAGATAGTTTTCATAGAAACTGATGATGTAATACAAAATATCTATTTTGTATCATTTTATTGAAAATACAAGTGATTTTGAGATAATCATTTAATGTTGTTTCCAATATTAAGATATTTTCAGTGATAATGTCAACCATCATTGATTGTCCATCAGCCATAGTTAGCACGGTAATAGATTAAACATTTCTTTAAAAGATATCACATTATGATTAAAATGACATTGAGATGTTATGAATATCATCTTTGAAGTACTTGATACATTTTCATACAAGATAATCACCAAACATTGTTCCACAAATCTTCATTCCTTTCTTTGATTGGCTTCTTAGGCCTACTGAGATCGTAATATTTAGTACATTGGCACTTGTTAAATGAGATAACCGTAATTGGCGATAATAGAAGATAATTTTGATCAGATTTTAAATGAATTTAACTGTTGGTGAATTCATTTAACCTTTGATGAACATAAAATTTAACAAATTTGTAAGTAAAAAATATTTGAATTTGGCTCCATCTACCGAAATCTTGACACTTTGTTTTGTTTGTTTTGGAAACTAAGGAAAAATATTATTCAATGTTTTGCTCGATTATTGCGCGTTCCAATATTTGATTAAGGATTTAGTTACTGATATTTAACTTAAAATAAATGATGTTTTTTATTATCTATGTGATCAATTTACAAAGAGTAAGGTAGGTTACTCTTTGCCTATTAGTGATTTTTATTGTCATTCAACTTGTATGTTTCAACGATCAACAAAAGAGTTGATCATTAATATACAAGCTCTTATAATATTTACATCTATAATTATTATCATCCAGTCTTTTGTCTTTTAATTGAATTTGTATCCTTTAATATCATTTAATATGACGTTATGTTTCATCTGATGATCTTCAATCAAGTGTACAACAGTCTATCCACTTGATTCCATCCTTGTTTTATTTTTCATCTCTGTTGTAATTTTATTTTTATAGGCGTGTTTATTAATTTGGTGATTCTGGAAAGGCTGTTTGAATTGAATGCTATTACCCTCATCACTTGTTAGTTATTAAACATTCGCAACAATGTACATAGCAATCAATCTTTTATTAGTGTCAACATTTTCACTTCTTTTGGTTGGCAATTGTGTGGAAAGTCAAAAGTGTGTCTTTAGATCAGTATGTGATGATTTTTCTGGTTCAATAATCACTGGACTTAAAATACCATGTGTCGCCGAGACTGGACCTCAAACTATTACGGATCAATCTTTATTGCGTTCACTGCAAGAAGTTTGCCCTCACCTCGATCCAAGTGAGTAACAACTTACTCTATCAGTGTTTCTATTTTACTCATTGTTAATCTATTTATTTTTTTACAGTTAACAATCCAACTCTCTGTTGTGATGAGGATCAAATCAATCAATTGGTTGACCAATTGGCACTCCCAAAAGGAATGTTATCCCGATGTCCATCATGTTTTTACAATTTTGCTAATTATTTGTGTGAGATGACATGTTCACCAAAACAATCAACATTCTTAAGGCTAGATGCATCAGAGCCCTCAAAAAGCAAACCTGGTAAACAACAAATAACCGCGATTTCCTATGCAATCGAAGAAAAATTTGCTCAGACCTTATTCAATTCTTGTGTTAATGTTTTGGCTCCTGGTCCTGGAGATAAACCGATTAAAATAATGTGTGGTAATTGGGGTGACCAATGCAATGCTCATCGTCTGTTGGAATATGTTGGACAAAAAGATCCTTCACCATTCAATATTAAGTTTCAATACTATCCTGATTCTAATGACACTGGCATCTCTCCTATTCCTCTCGTTTCATCACAATGCTTTGAAGCACCAGGAGTTGCTAATAAATCAGCCTGTTCTTGTTCAGATTGCCCAGCTGTGTGTAAACCCTTGCCACAACCTGAATCTCATGAAATATTTAAGATTTTCGGTATCGATGGAATGGCCTTAGTTATGTCTATTATTTTTGTAGCTACTACTACTCTGGTTGTTTTATATTTCACCCATTATGAGCGTAGAAAACAGACTCATGAAGGTAAATATTACTTTGTTTCCATGAAAAACCTTTTTTGTTGAAATCGTTTATTGAGTCATAATTTCCCAACTAACTTGAAACCTTTTTGCTTTTAATTAGCTGATAACAACGGATCCCATCCTATGGCTGTTTCCTCGACAACTCCTACTAACAAATTTAACAGTTTAGTGCATGATAAGTTCGATAAAACTAATCTATCCTATCCTCTCTTTCTTTCCTTCTTTAACTCTTCGATCTTTGATATCCTCTATGATTGATTCTATATTTATTTCATTATTTATTTCGTATTTAAAACTTTTATTCTGATAATTTAATCATTTTTCTTCGGTTTTTTAGATGAAAATGCTCTCTGTGACTCTACTCTCGCAATATTACCCAGAAAAACCATCGGATCCAGGTTGGAAGCATTTCTTGAACACAGTTTTACTCAATGGGGATATATGGTCACTGGAAGACCGATCCTAGTCATTATTATTGGTATCGCTTTAGTATTGGTTACTGGTCTTGAGTTAAGAAACATTTCTAGTAGAATAACCTCAGATCCTGTTGAATTATGGAGCTCACCTAAGAGTCAAGCTCGTCAAGAGAAACAATATTTCGATGAAATGTTTGGTCCATTTTATCGAACTAATCAGTTGATTATCAAGAGAACAACAAATGAACCTAGTTTTTTGTATAACTCAAGTGGAAAAGAATACACATTTAACTCAATTTTTGAAAAAGATTTCCTATTGAAAATTCTCGAACTTGAGCAAGAAATTACATCGCTCACAGCAAAATTGGATGGTGAAACAATTAAATTGAATGACATATGTTTCAGTCCTTTAGGCAATGGCTTATGTGCAGTTCAAAGTGTTTTCGGCTGGTTCCAGGAAAATGCCACTCACTTTGATGATGATCCCAACTCAAATTATACTTACCTCGATCACCTTGTTTCCTGTCTTAGTAATCCTTATGCTCTCGATGATAATTTGAAACCATTTCACTACCGTTGTTTAGGTGAATATGGTGGCCCAGCTTTGCCAAAAGTTGCTCTCGCGGGCTTTAATCTTGCTGATTCACAAAAAGATGCCGCTGCCGCTTACACTCAAGCTACATCACTCGTAATTACAATTTTGGTCAATAATCATGCCGATAAGAGTCAGAATAAAAAAGCGGAAGCATGGGAAAAAGTGTTTTTGGATTACTTAAATGCTTTTAATCACACTCGATTCCCTAATCTCGATATTACTTATTTTTCAGAGGTGAGTAAATTTTTAAACATTTTAACTTCATGTTTAAAAAATCTACGATAATATAAGAAGACGTCATCCCACGCACCTCTCACTGCTTTAACAACTCTTTTGAGTAATATTAATGAGTAGACTCAAATAATAAGTCAATATTATTTTCAATTATTCCAACAGAGATCAGTCCAGGATGAAATAAATCGTCAAAGTTTGGGTGACATTTCAACTATTACTGTCAGCTATCTGGTTATGTTTGCATATGTCTCGTTAACCCTGGGCAGAATTCCAAGTAAAAGTCAATTCTTCGTTCATTCCAAAATCGGTTTGGGTTTCCTTGGTGTCATAACCGTTATTGCCAGCGTTATATCATCTATTGGTTTGATGATCCTTCTAGGATTTAATCTAACTCTTATCATCATGGAGGTTATTCCCTTTTTGGTTTTGGCTGTTGGAGTAGATAATATTTTCATTCTTGCTCAACACTTACAGGTAAAAATTATTTAAAAATCAAATTTAATCAAAAATTAATATAAATTTCTTTTCTTTTCATTTATAGCGTTACAATCCTAAACAAAATGAGTCTTCTCAAGATCAAGTAGCTAAGGTTTTGGGAAAATGTGGACCATCTATTCTTATGGCTTTTGCCTGTGAAGTTACATGTTTCTTTATTGGAGCTTTATCAACTATGCCCGCTATCCGAATGTTTGCATTGAATGCTGCTTTAGCTCTTCTAATCGACTTTTTACTACAAATGAGTGTTTTCATTGCTGTTTTATATCTTGATTTGGAGAGACAGAAATCATCTAGATTTGATATTCTGTGTTGCTTTCAATCATCCAAAAACATCAATCCTGATCCAACGCCTGATGATGTTGAAGCTGGATTACTTCAAAAAATCTGTAAAGATCATTATGCACCATTCCTCATGAAAGACAAAGTTCGTTTAGTTATATTCATCAGTTTTACTCTTTGGGTTTGCTCTTCTATTGCTGTTGTAAACAAAATTGAGGTTGGATTGGATCAAGAACTATCAATGCCTCATGATTCTTACGTCCTTAAATATTTCAAAGCCCAAAAAAATGATTTACGCGTCGGACCTCCTGTTTATTTTGTTGTTGGTGGTAAATTTGATTATTCAGAAATTTTCCACCAAGAAATTATTTGTGGAGCTAGCTTCTGTGGTGAAAATTCCCTCTTTAATCAAATCAGTCAAGCATCACACGAACCCGAATCTAGTTACATTGTTGATACTCCTGCGTCATGGCTTGATGATTACTTCGATTGGGCTGGATCATCATCTTGTTGTCGAATTTTCAAAAATGATACAAATATCTTCTGTCCATCTACATTAACAGATATTAACCGAAGCAAAGATTGTAAACAGTGCCCTATTTTAGATGATGACCAAACTGTGAAACCAAAAGAATTTTATGCTTTTCTGCCTGACTACTTATCTGATGAGCCGACAGCCAATTGTCCGAAAGGTGGTCTTGGAGCTTATGGAGCTGCTGTTAAATTAGGTGATGATGGTCGTGTATTGGCTAGTCACTATAGTTCCTATCATTCACCTCTAGTCAAATCAAGCGACTTTATCGAAGCAATGAAAAGTGCTCGTTTCTTAGCATCAAACATTGAACGAGCAGTATCAACCGCTTTAAAGCCAGGCGAAGAAGTTAAAGTATTTCCATATTCTCTTGTCTACGTTTATTACGAGCAATACCTTACTATCTATGGTGACTCCATCAGAAGTCTTGCCTTATCAATTACAGCTATTTTCTTGGTATCCTTTGTTTTGTACGGATTTGATATCAAAGCATCACTGATTGTCGTTTTCACCATTATATGTATCGTAATCAATCTTATGGGAATGATGTATTGGTGGGACATTTCACTGAATGCCTTGTCTTTGGTTAATCTCGTTATGGCTGCTGGTATTTCAGTTGAATTTTGTTCACATATAACTCATGCTTACCTAATGAGTAATGAAGCAAGTCGTGTGAAGCGATCACAAGAAGCCTTGGCTACAATGGGTTCATCTGTTTTATCTGGAATCACATTGACTAAATTTGCCGGTATTCTGGTATTAGCTTGGTCAACATCACAAATTTTCGTTGTATTTTATTTCCGAATGTATTTCGGTATTGTTATTATTGGAGCACTTCATGGTCTTGTTTTATTACCAGTACTGTTGAGTGTATTTGGAGGTAAACCCAAGCTGAGCAGTTCATTTATAATTGATAATCCTGAACAAGCAGTTGTGGAATAAATAACGCTACTGAACCTCATAAGCTCACACAACATTGGTTGAAAAACATTGATACTCTGCATTTCAAGATATTAAGAACGGGCAATATTTTTAAATTTTTAGATAACCGTTCAACTTTCAACAAATAAATTGTTTATTTATCATAGTTATTTTCAATAAGAACCAAAAATTGGAAAATTGATCTTTTGTTACACATAATCCTCATCTAAATGTAGAGATACTGTCTGCCTTAACATTTTGAAATGCGTTGTATCACCTCTTTAATGATCATGATCTCTAACCATCTAATACATATTGACTGAACCAAAACTAATCATGAAACAGCTACAGAATCCGGTCAAACAATCATGTTATCAAATTGATTTCATCAATTATTGAGTTGTTTGTTTAGTTTTTTGAAGATAACATGCGAATATCTATGTTTCAATGTAAAAAATCACTATCTTTTACCCAAACACAAATTTTTAGATAATAAATATAATAGATTTATATCCTTTTTAAACCTAAACATGTGAATAAATTTCAACTTATTTTCAAAATTTTCCGTTTTCCAAAAAGATTCAATAAAATACAAATGCAATGCTTATTATGATTAGTGAAGAGATGTTTAATATGATAGAAATGAATTACATTAAAATAGTTGAAATTTCTCAACAATTACAGATGATTGAATTTAAAAATAAATTAAAATATTTTTTTTAAAAAATAATCAGAATTAAAAAGTTATTAAAACAGAGATCATTCAATCCCAAAAATTTGAGCGATTATATTTGACAGAATCAATATCAATATCTTCTGGTTGCTCTCGTTTAAGGCGTCTAGCATTACGACATTGAAAACAAATAACAATAAGAAATACGCAAATGACTGTAAATGAAATCACATGAATACTTGCATGAACGCATGAACGAACAATTAAATCTGGCAATTGTTCCTTAAAGATGTCATGAAAAGGATTGTCAACCATATAACAATCATATCCATCCTTATCAGGCTCAGGCAATGGACCAGTTACATGGATTCGGTAACAAATGTAATCTTTAGCCTCAGTTTCACATCCAATGATACGACTAAATATAAAATTTGATTAGCAAATATTTCACCATTAAACAAATCAAATAAACAATTACCTGAGCTCATCTGTACGATTAATAAGCTTTTCACATTGATAGAGATAATCGGCCGTAATATGATCATATTGGCTCAAAGATTGTCTTGAAAATTTACGAGCAACACAACTTGGCTGTAAAACAATTTTTTGTAGTTCAACTGAATTCAAATAAAATCACAATTAGAGTTGATTGTGTAAAAACACTGAAAATATGCGGCTATAAAAGCTATAAAAACTCACCAAATTTAGCAACCTTCTCAACGAAATTTCTAACCATGATCTGTGTTTCGTTAACTTTCGCTAATTGCTCCTCAGACAAGCGTAAAGCTTCTGTAAACTCATTTATTTCTTTCGCAGTTTTTTCTAACATTATTTGATAGTCAATCGAACCTGTTTATTTTGTTGACAAAAAGATTGAAATTAAAGATTGATCCATTGAAACCAGAATGAATTACTTACAGTGCGTAAAACCAAAGGAACAAAAGACGAATATGATGAAAGATTGACCTCGCATGCTTTGGAATGGAAGAATCACACAAAATGTAATTGGCTTCAGATGGATGCGGTAAAAAATGTATTCTGGTCACAGATGAGCCAAGGCACAGTTGCTTTAAAAGTGACAATTAGAGCTACATTGATTTTCAATGATTTGCAACTAATGTAACAAACTAAAATGAGAAGATTCAAATATAAATACAATTTAGATGACAATTGATAGCCAATAGAGTTTATAGCAATTTAAATCAGTTTATAATGATGGATGATTTGTTTGAAAAATCTTAACAGCATTTTCAAATGCAATAACTTGAAAAGTTAAACAGATCAGTTTATATTTTTTCAAATCATATGCTTATGACTGTTAAATTTTGAGCAGCAATTCGGCCAGGCTATATCCATATAAGAATAACGATTACTGTTAAACCCATGATGGTGAGGTACCTCTTGTAATCACTATATTTGTTCAGAAAAATGGATGAGCATAACGGAAGTAACAACTGATTTATTCTGAGATTGCTTGTTTAATTGCTCATTGCATCTACTGATAAGGTAATTTAGTAAATCTCATTGCAGAAATAGCATCTTGATGCAATCAAATCGGAAATCTAATAATAGATGATCGATGATAAATATCGATTTATGGTTATCCTCAAAATTACAAATAACCGACAAATTTTAGTTACAAGGTTTGCAAAATCACAATGGAATATGAAAAGTCCTGTTAAAATTGGCCATTGAACTGATTTTTCCTTTTTCCCGCTTGTTGAGCCTCTAATGTCTTAATGATTTTATGGGCCAAAGACAATGTGATTTCACGATGAAAAAGGTGTAGAGAAAGAGAAACAATGGATAAGAGTTAAGGAACCAGAATTTTCTTAAGATTTGTTGTTAATTCAAAAATTTCAATCAAAATTGGATTCTATTCGAGCAGTATTGTTACTCCACCACAAAAGAGACCAGAGTTTCATAAAATCTGTGTGCACCATTGTTCCTCAACTGGAAGGCAGCTTATCAAGTATGGTTACAATTGTTCAGTTCATTGAAATGTCGATTCTGTCAGAACAATTTTCTGCTGTTGCAAATGTAGCTACATTTGTCGCTTATTTGGTATATAAAAACACTTGAAATAAAATTTATTCTCTGTTCTTTATTAGTTAATAGTTTAATGTAATGAAAATGGTTATGGGAAATGTACATAAATATGATTCATATAGTTATAGGAATGTATTTGATACAAATGATTTAGCAATCAGATTGCCATTTAAGAGCCAATTTAAAATTAAAATTAAAATTAAAAACGTTTAACGAAAAGCAATCGAAAGATTCTGTTGGACAAGATGAAGAGCAATATGATTTGACTGACTTCACTGATTAACTCGAGCATTATGATGTTGATAAAAAAGACAAATAAAATTAAGCAAATGACTGAAAATGAGATTACATGAAATATGCGAGTTAAAATATTGGAATCACAATTGCACTTTGGAAGATTGAGGATTGAAGGAATCAACGGATTCTTAACGTCATAACAAGCATTTCCATCCTCATCAGGTTCAGGCAATGGATCAGTCTTAGAGATTCCGTAACAAATGAAATTCTTCGACTCAGTTTCACATCCAATGATACGACTAAACACAACATTTGATTAGAAAACATTTCACCATTAAACGAAATAAACTAATTACCTGAACGTGTCTGTGCCATTACTAAGCGTTTCACATTGATAGGGATGATCCACCATACTGTTATAATATTGGCTCAAAGATTGTCTTGAAAATTTGTGAGCGATGCAATTCCGCTGTAAAAACAACTTCTCTCCTTCAACTGAAAAACATGACAAATTTGAAAAACACAGAACAATCTGAGAATAGAAAAGCTCAAAACGAAATACTTACCTCTTTTAGGCAACAACTGCCGAGCGAGACCAGATAATAAGCTCTTTGCTTGGTGAGCTTTCGCTTTGGCCTCAACAGACATTTTTGAAATTTCAATCAATTTACTCGCTCGTTGCTCAGTTTTGTCTACAATTGTTTTTATGTCAGGGAAACCAGGTAATGATATAGCCAAACCTATTGACCAAAAGATTAAAATGAAAGATTGATCCATTGAAATGAGAATGAATTACTTACAGAACGTAAGACAAAATGAACCAAAAATGAATATGATGTGAGATGGACACTTCATGTTTTTAAATTTAAGAATCGCACAAGATTGAAATTTCCTTCAGATGGATGCAGTGAAAATGTATTCTGGTCACAAATGAATTAAGACGTGATAGCGTTAAAAGCAACAAATATTACAACAGCTTCCAATGGTTTGTAAATGATGAAACAAGACAAGATGTTATAATTCAAATATAAATACAATTTAGATGACAATGGCTAACCAATAGAATCGATTGGGATTCAAATTAATTTGTTGATGCAAGTTTAGCTTCAGAAAATATTAACAGCATTTTTAAATCAAATAACTTGAATCAAATTTATTTTTTGCAATCATATGTTAAAGACTGTTGACTTTTGAGCAGTTATTAACCGTCATTTTTTATTAAGTATTTTTTTGTGTAAAAAATAATTGACATTTGACATTCTGTGCGGTTTGATTTCTGTTTGAAAGATTATGGACAAATATTAATTTGAATTTATAACATTTTTAGGTTAAACGTGAAAATCAAAATAAAATTTTTTATAATTTCTGTTGAATTTGTTAACGATCCGAAGACTCTTCATTTTATCCACAAAGTCTCGAGATTTGAATAAGTATTTTAAGTTGCCAATTGATATTTATAATGTTATCATCTTTCCATCAAGAAATCTTGTGAATCTTTCATAACTGCCAGGGAAATTGACGGAGATGAGCTAATTCGAACGGATCGTCGGTGTGATTTGCACAAAATTGTAACAAAGCAAATGGCGTTGCAAAAAAGGGCGACGACTAGTATAAGAAATATATAAGAGCAAAAATAATTTCTACAATAAACTTTCTCGTTAAAAGAATAAGAATCAATTGGCAGTTGGCTATCATTTTGCGATGAATCAATCACATGCAGATCAAAGCTAAGTTTCGCACTGAAAAGTATCGTCTCAGTCAGATGTTTGTATGACATTTTCAGTTCTCTTAATGATGGCTCTTGAACAAGTTTATACAATGCTTTATCCAAATTGTCATATATAACACAGTTCGAGCCATTTTCATTTTCCTCAGGCAAAGGCTGGTCAAGAGTTATTCCAATGCATCCATGGCTAATGTCATTACAGCTGATAATTTTACTAAAAATCAATAAAATTGATTCAGAATGATCAGAAATAAAGTATAAACGAACCTCCGTAAATAATTATCCGAAAAAGACAAGCTTACCTGATATTGCCTTTATTGACTTCAAGTTGCAAGCAAGTTTCAGCGTTTGAGTAAGAAAGTGTCAAAAATCCTGATAAATCAAGCTTTCGATAACTTTTTCTTAAATCTTAGCATAAAAAAGACAAATAAAATGATTTATTGGAATGAACTTGGAAATTTCCTCATCAATAAACTCACCAACGAAATTGAATCTTTCAGTAATTTCGACTGAGGCTGTTAAATAAGTGCTGTTAAATTGAAATCGAACCGATTTTATCCTCAGATACGATATTCTAAGCCTGAAACATAATAACTTCTTAAGATTTTCACCCAATTCATCGAGTTCATTGAGCAAAGAATAGGTTTCTACTGGAGATAATTTTTCTGGCGTAAAAAGTTTACCGAAAAGATAGAAAAAAAAACAAAATTAAAGTCAATTGACAATTTAAGTTAAACTTACTTGAAGGTGTTACTTGAAATTTTAAAACATCCATTTTTGCATTTTGAAAACACTTGTTATTGAGAGTGTAAACTTGATGTTCAGGCTCATAATTCAATTTGGTGTAACCATAACATGAGATTTTTCTAGTTTTTATTAATTGATAATCCAACGAAGATTTCTGTTTAATAGAAATGCATTAGAATTGAAAACTTGAAAATTAACTCGAGCTAAACATACATTTTCCTTGTTATACAGTTTACGTTCAACTTGAAGATTTTGCAAGATCAGGTCTGATCTTCCGGTCTTGCAATGGTAAAAAAGTAAATTCAGTTTATTCATTCGAAACAAGTTTTTCAAGAAAAAAAGTTACCATTCTAGCCATTCTGAGAGTTGTAGTCACTAAATCGTACGAAAAGTTTCCAATTTGTTTATCGAACTCTATTTTATCCATAATTAACTTGTCTCTGTGTTGATATTTGATTGGCTGAAAAGAATGTGAAAATGAATAAAATGTTGAGGATAAAATTGCAAAAACTTACGAATAAAGTTTCATCTGAATATATAAAAGTCCAGGCTATCCCGAAAAACTCTTGCAAGCTTAAGCTTGCGAAATTGAATGATTTATTTTGATTGCTCGATTGAATTGCACAGCCATCGGCTGTTGAAGTAAAGCTTAAACCAGATACCAAGTCATCTACTTGTTCATATTCAATTCCTGGTCTTTTATATTTCATCCATGACAGAGAATCCATCTCAATAACATCAAACTAAAGAAAAAAGAAAATGACTGAAAACCCGAATAAAAGCATAAATAGAAACAATACCTGAGCATCAACTGTTGACTGATGAATATGATCAGTTAGAGTTTCATTGAATCCAACATAAAACTGTTGCCCAGTTTCTATTACTATATTATATAAGCTGACAAATTTCTCAATTCTCATGTTAATCGAATGACCATTGTGTGAATCAGAAATAGTTAGGTTGTCCAATTCACGCAAGTCAACCCAAGGAGTGATACTTGCTAACAATTGGAGAGTAAAATATCATCAGAAGTGTTTCTATCATTCAAAGATGGTTTGACTTCTCACCTGTGAATTTGTAGACCCAAAATAATGACTGACCATCATTGTTACTCGAAAATTTCAGCGATCTTTCGTCTTTGTATTCTTGATGATTGTAATCCTTAAGAATTGAATAATAATAAACCGGACCCATTATCAACAGCTTATTGATCAATCTGATTGTTTTTACTGGTAATCCTACTCCATCCCAAGTGAAATTGCGAATACTTTCCATGTCCATGGCACGGTTATCTGAATAGTGTTGCAATCAGCGAAAATAAGTGAGTTTGTTTGAACATGTTTGTAGCTTGAGTCAAACTTACCAAGGAAAACGATTCTTTTTGAAGTGTTGAGATTGTAATGAACTTGCATTTCGATGTCACCCTTTTGTATCCTGATTACTCCATGAATTAAGGGCTTGAAATAAACTGTTTCAGCCAAGTACCAAGTATTGTTTGATTCCTGAAAAATTGAAACCATCATTTAATATTGTTGACTAAAAAGACATTTGTTTCTTTACCTTATGAGTTATATTGGCTTTAATCAGCAAATCGTATGAACTCGTTCTTATTTCAGTGGCTGATAGAGAAATCATTCATTAAACTGGTAAATCATTTGGATTTGAATGGAAACTTACCTTGATTGTATTGAAATAGTAAAGTGGTGATTACAAGTGAAATTAGGATGAAATTCATTTTGTGGAACTTTTAACCCAACAAACATTTGTTGTAATGTGAATCTTTGGAATGATATAAACTCAAGGAAAACAAATAAACTCAAGTGATCTTTGATCATCAAAAAAACAAAACGCCTTTTCCGCTGTTCATCTTGAGGCATAACTAATTAGGCTTCTGAACATACAAATTGACTCAGCAAAGCATTTGATCGATCAACTTTCCTGTTCGAATTTTTAATTACACAACTTTGATCATATTAACTATTATTATGAATTCGACCTTGACATAAAAGTAATTTAAAGGCAAGCTAAAATCATTTACTTAAGTTCCATGTTCTTTATCTACTTCTAATCCGTTATATTATATTTTGTGATTGATTCATTGAATTTGTATTGACATGAATCCGTTTGTTTTTACGATTCTGTATGATTCTAAAGGTTCAGTGTGATTTAAACAGCTATTAACTGTCATTTTTTATTAAAATATTTTAGTGATGAGAACAACTATTTGACATTTGGCATCGAGTGAAATTTCCTGTCTGAAAATTATGAATAAATAGCAATTTAAAATTATTCAATTTTATGTTGAATGGGAAAATACAATAATGGTCAGGGTTTAGTTAAAAAATCGGAGATATTTTTCATGGTCGCCATCTACATGTAACAAGAAATATAAGTATCTTTAAGATCGAATTCAATTTTTCATAGTCTTTTATCGTTTATTGTTTCTGAAAATTGTACATGCTTAAGATGGCGACACTTAAAATTAACTTAAGTCTGACCCTTTTTTATTACAAGACTGACTACTGGTGTAATTTCTGTTCATGTCAACAATCCAAAGACTCGTAATTTTATCCACTTAGTCTCGAGATTTTAATAACTATTTTGCGTTGCCAATCGATGTTGATAATGTTATCATCGTTACATCGAGAAATCTTATGAGTCTTTCAAAATTGTCAGTGAAATTGACGGAGATGAGCTGATTCGAACGGTTCGTCGGTATGATTTACACAAAATTGCCACGAATCCAATGATTATACAAATGATGAAGAAAATTAGTATGAAAAATATATAGTTGCCAAAATAATTTTCGCAATAAATTTTCTCGTTAAAAGAATAAGAATCAATTGGTAGTTGGCTATCATTTTGCGATGAATCAATCACATGCAAGTTAAAGCTCAGTTTCGCAATGGAAAGCGTCGTTTCATTCAAATGTTTGTATGACATTTTCAATTCTTTTAGTGTTGGCTCTTGAACAAGTTTATACAATGCTTTATCCAAATTGTCATATACAACACAGTTCGAGCCATTTTCATTTTCCTCAGGCAAAGGCTGGTCAACAGTTATTCCAATGCATCCATTGCTAATGTCATTACAGCTGATGATTTTACTAAAAATGAATTAGAATCCAATTTAGAAATAAACTTGAGAATAAATGACCAAAAACAAGACAATCTTACCTGACATTGCTTTTCATGGCTTCAAGTTTCAAGCAGTTTTCAGTATCTGATGAAACATCAGTCACGAACCCAGATAGATCCAGCTTTCGATAACTTTTTCTTAATAAATCTTAAACATAAAAAACAAATGATTAATTGCAAAAACTTGATAATAGCTCTATCAATAAACTTACCTACGAAATTAAATCTTTCGATAATTTCGACTGAGGCTATTAGATGAGTGGCATGAAACTGAAATCTAACCGATTTTATCCTCAGATAAAACATTCCAAGCTTGGTATATAATAAAATCTTAAGATTTTCACTCAGTTCATCGAGTTCATTGATCAAAGAATAGGTTTCGATTGGAGATAATTTTTCTGGCGTGAAGAATTTACCGAAAAGATAGAAAGAGAATTAAACAAAATTAAAGTCAATTGAAAATTTAAGTTAAACTTACTTGAAGGTGATAATCGAAGTTTTAAAACATCCATTTTTGCATCTTGAAAACACTTGTTATTGAGAGTGTAAACTTGATGTTCAGGCTCATAATTCAATTTGGTGTAACCAGAAAAGAATATTTTTAAAGTTTTTACCAATCGATATTCCAATGAAGATTTCTGTAAAATAAAAATGAATTAGAATTGAAGACTTGAAAATTAATTCGCACAAAACATACATTTTCCTTGTTATAAAATTTACGCTCAATTTGGAGATTTTGTAAGATCACGTCTGATGAGATATTTCCGGGCTTGAAATGATAAAATAGTAAATTAAGTTTTGTTCATTTGAAACAATTCTTTCAAAATAAAGTTACCATTCTTGCCACTCTAAGAGTTGTGATCACTAAATCGTACGAAAAGTTTCCAATTTGTTTGTTTAACTCCATTTTATCCATGATTATCTTGTCCCTGTGTTGATATTTGATTGGCTGAAAAGAGTGTAAATGAATAAAATGTTGAGGATAAAAGTGGCAAAACTTACGAATAAAATTTCTTTTGTGTAATAAAAAATCCAGGCTTTTCCGAAAAACTTGTGAAAGCTTAAGCTTGCAAAATTGAATGATTCATTCTGATTGCTCGATTGAATTCTACAGCCATCGGCTGTTGAAGTAAATCTTAAACCAGATCTCAAGTCATCTACTTGTTCATATTCAATTCCTGCTCTTTTGGATTTGATCCATGAAATTAGATACATTTTAGCTGCATCAAACTATAGACAAAAAAATAAAATCAATAAAAACTAAAAAAAAGCAATCGAAACAATACCTGAAAATCATCTGTCGACTGATTTATGTGATCAGTTAGAGTTTCATTGAATCTAGCATAAAAATGCTGCCCACCTGCTATTACTTCACTACCAAGAGCAATAACTTTGACAATTTTAACGGTAATCAAAGGACTATTGTAGGAATTATAAATAGTTATGTTATCCAATTCACCTATGATAACCCAAGGAGTAAGACTTGCTAACATTTGGAGAGTAAAATATCATTAGAATTGTTCTGTCAGAAAAAAAGATGCTTTGCCTTCTCACCTGTGAATTTGTAGACCCAAAATAATGACTGACCATCATTATTACTCCGATATTTTAACGATCTTTCGTTTTCATTCTCTTGATAGTTGTAAGCATCAAGCAATGAATAGTAATAAGCCGGTCCCAACATTAACAGTTTATTGATCAATCTGATTGTTGGTACAGGTAACTGTACTCCATCCCAAGTGAAATTGCGAATACTTTCCATTTCCATGGCACGGTTATCTGTACATTATTGGAAGCAGAAGCATTGTTGTATTTGTTTGTATAAGTTTGTAGCTTTAGTCCAACTCACCGAGAATAACGACTCTTTTTGAAATGTTGAGAATGTAATGAACTTGCATTTCGATGTCACCTTTTTTTATCCTGATTACTCCATGAATTAAGGGCTTGAAATAAACTGTTTCAGCCAAGTACCAAGTATTGTTTGATTCCTGCAAAATTAAACAATCATTTAATATTGTTGACTAAAAAGACACATGAGTTACATGTTTCTTTACCTCATGAGTTATATTGGCTTTAATCAACAAATCGTATGAACTCGTTCTTATTTCAGTGGCTGATAGAGAAATCATTCATTAAACTGGTAAATCATTTGGATTTGAATGGAGACTTACCTTGATTGTATTGAAATAGTAAAGTGGTGATTACAAGTGAAATTAGGATGAAATTCATTTTGTGAAACTTTTAACCCAACAAACATTTGTTGTAATGTGAATCTTTGGCCTGATATCAACTTAAAGAAAACAAATAAACTCAAGTGATCTTTGATCATCAAAAAACCAAAACGCCCTTTCCGTTTTTCATCTTGAGACATAACTAATTAACTAATTAGGCTTCTAAATAAACACATTGCTCAACAAAGCGAGTGATCGATCAATTTCACTGTTTATATTTTTAATTTCAATATAATTAATGATCAATGTGAACAATGTTATTTAATATTATATTTTTGTAGTCACTTTAGCAATCGCAATAACTTGATTCTTTTCAGTAAACTTTTGTTGCGAGCAATCACGATTGAATGTCTATAAATCGGCATCAACAATAAGGAGACTGTGCTCTTGGAGCCTCAATCGAGACGTATGCATTGACCGACAACACTACAGTAAGTAACTTGCACTGATTTGTGTGATCATTACAAGATATGTCGATTAGTGGAGTAATGAAAATAATAATACAATCGTGCATTTTTAAAATTTGGTTAATGTTTGATAAAATGGAAGCGACTTGCTTAAAACACATACTTTTATTAAAAGCAATAATTTAAGTAAACAGATTGAAAACATTTCTGATTTCGTTATTGCAATATTTTCAGGAATCAAATGTTCGATTTGAGTAATTTAAGTGAAACCCAATCATGAAAAGAATTAGTTTCGCGTTGAGACAGTTTAAAGTAAAATGCAAACTTAACAAATATCACAATATTGATCAATATGGAAATAAGAGAGAATATGATGAAAAATACGAAAAACGAGTTTGATTTCGTCTTTTCTGGACTATCAAAGAGTATACCATCTCCAATTGTAACACCAACAATAGCAAATTCAATATCGGAATAGTTGAATTGACTTCCATTCAAGTTTGAATAAGATTTTCCTATTAATACTTGCAAAGGAACTTCTGCCAATAGTTTGGTTAAGGTGCGATCTGAATTGTTGTACAACATACAGTTTAACCCATTTTCATTTTCAACTGGTAATGAATCTCCATCAGCGATTCCAAGGCATAGATAATGCTCAGTTTCACAAGTTATAACATAGCTGGAAGACAATAAGGTTTAATGATATCAAGATATTTATTGCTAAAAAAGATTAACTACCTTAGATTGGCTTTAGAAGCTTGAAGACGTAAACATTCATCAATGGTTGATGTATAGATTTGACCAGATTCCGTTGATTTGATGTTGAATCTATGTGAAGCTCCTTTCTTAGATTCTATGCGAAAAAAATTCCATTAATTGAGCGCATCAAATATCTAATTCCAAGAAACTTACCAAAGTAGGTAACAAATGAATCGACAATTTCAACCTTTGCCACCATATATGAGTTCAAAAAATTCAATTTGATCAAATTCATTCTTAAAAATGACACATTCAATTTATCAACGAGCCAAGTCCGGAATACATCTTTGATGGAATAGATTTCGGCTTGCAATTCGTGAATTTTGTCTGACATCAAATGATCTGTTTATTGCAATGGAAAATATTTTTTCATTATTGACTAGAAAATAATAATTAAATATAACATATTTACTTAATAATGCAATCTCTAAACGGAGAATAACTTTATCTTTTCTGTCTTTGAAACATTGATGATAGGAATTGATCAATCGATGAAAATCGTCTTCGTTTAAATAATCTGGCGTTTCGATTAAGCATATTACTCTGACTTCAGTGAGATTGAAATTATATGAGATCTAATCAGAAAAACAACATACATGTAATTTAGTTTTGCATTTTATTAAAATTTAAATCTTATCATACCTTATTTGGGACGGATTTTGAGTAAAGGTCCATTTGAACACAGAAATCTGCGAGTCTTCCACTTTCCACTAATAATCTTGACTTAAGTTGAAAAAATTTTCTTTACTAAAACACAGAAATCTTCTTCATTCTGAAATGAAATGAAACTTACCGCATTATCTGGCTCTAGATAGGTTTTCACAACCAAATCATACTTTACATTACCAATTGTTACATTGTGTTCTGCTACAACCCTCAGTTTCTTGCTGTATGGTTCAACCTAATTAATGTTGATAAAAATTAAATGCATTTGATTGTTTGATTGATGGATGAAACTTTTTCTCAACTCACCGGATTCTTTGGAAAATAAAGTTCATTTGCAAACGCCTTTCCATAATTTTCTGAAGCAGCATAATTGAATTCATCATCAACACTGCTTGATTCAATGGTGCACTCATTGTGACCAGATGGAATGTATTTCAAACCAAATTTACGATCATAAACAAACTCGAGGTGGAATCGTTTACCAATGATTTCGACCGAAGTAACTGAATCCAATGATGTGATAGAAAGCTATTGAAAATTCGAAAGGGAAATATTGAAGTTCAACAATAAAATAGCGTTAAATAAAGGATCAACCTTAATTTTATACATTGCCGAATATAAATGTTTTATAAAATAGCGATTTAGTGTTTGAAGTGTATTTATTTTAGTGAAATTCATTCAATTGTTTCGATTTTTTCTTGAAATATTTAATCAATATATTCTGTAAGTACAGTAACTAGTAAGTAACATTCATTAAGTTTTATTCATTCAACTCTTTTATTTACTACGCTTCATATTTGTCCAAATACTTGAATAAAACTTATGCTAACACCATTTTATTTACTAATATTAAACATAACTATTACAAATTAGACCTTTACACAAAATTAGTTTAAAGGCAAGAAAAATCACTTACCTGAGTTGTTCCATGTTCTCTATCAACTTCCAATTCGTTATATTTGGTAATTGATTCATTGAATTTGTAGTGAATGCCTTTTGTTGGCATTGATACGTTTGCTTTCACTAAAGACTCAGTTTGTTGTATAGATAAACCCAGGTTTGGATAATCGTATTTTTGATTAACAATTGTTAGAGCGCGGTTGTTACTATCACGTATTCCAAAGTATTCAGCCTGATCGGAATCTGCAAGTTATTTATGTAATGTATTATTATTTCTCTTAACTCATTTTCTTAGACAAACCTCGAAAAGTAGGCACCAGATACAAAGTACCACAAGGATAGGTTGCTGTTCGAAATCGCTGTCTTTGAATATACACCGGATCTTCACTAGTTTGACACCATATCATACGATAAGGTCCCAACAACAGAGCAGCTTTCACAATCTGAGTTAAACCTGGAGGAAATCCCTTTAAATTTTTATCCAACAAATCAGCATTTCGTCCGCACTCATTTTCTGACCAATAATTTGATAGTTATAAAAGTGTATAATAGATACACTTGCTTGTTAGTAATTATTCACCTAATATGATGAATTGTTTGGTTACTTACGCACACAGATCAATGAAATGTTTTGAGTTTTGAAATCACGAAACACTTTTATTTCAAATCCTTCCTTTTCTTGGGTTATTAATGTTACGATACTGTTTTTTTCATCACCAAATACCGACTCTTCTATTAACCAGTTCTTTTCATTTTTAACTTGCACTGAAGAATATTCCTTTATAAAATTTATCAATATGGCAATAATTAAATTCAGCTAATCAAGCGGATGCAACTTACCTTATAATTTAATTTAGCTTTTATTAAAAAATTAGTTCCAAGTTCAGATATGTCCTTGTCACCTTGTTGATAAGCTGTTTTCATGAGAGTTTAAAGAAATGGAGAAATGAATCAATTTAGTTTGCATAAAAGTTTTTGACTAAAAATTACCTTCATTCAATCTGGTTAAATCGTATAAAATTATGAATATAAACACAAAACATTTATGTGGAAACATTTTTCGTATAAACATTTTATTATAAAAATTGTTGAGATTATCACAATTGATTTATGAAACTATTGTTTATGATCTCAAAACATAAAATCTAATGTATTTACAACTTTAACAACTTTTATATATTACTCTTTGATTTTGTATAAACTCATAACTATTATAATGATGATAACGCCTTCAATTCCCATGCTTCATCTTACAACTCGTCCCTAAATTGGAGGAGCAAAGTTAAAAGTTATTTGATCTTCAACTTAGTTTGTTATTGTTGCCTTTTTGGACTACAATCCAATGATCAATCAAATCAAGGTTTAAGAGACTTATTAATTGAAGTGATGCAAGATTGTTAGGGATCACATGAAAAGTCAAACGATGAATAAGGTCTCAAAAGTTACCAATACGTATCAAGTTAACTCTCAATATCTTCTGTGTTAAATAATGAGAAAATTTAGTTCTATGAACATTCAATTGCAATTTTTTTCAAGATTTTGCCGCAAATATTCAGGCATAAATAAATTGATTTGTGCAATTGAAACGACCGAGTTGACAAAATAAAAACTTTATAATTGCAATGAATTAATAGTAAGGTATTCCTAGTAAAAAACATAAACAAGAGAATACGGAAACACTTAAGCAATTTTTAATACTTTCATTTAAATTTGTTAACAATTAAAGTCTCGAGATGTGAATAAGTATTTTAAGGTTCCAATTTACACTGATGATGTTACTATCAAAACCTATTGTTTGAAATGATGAAACCAGATTTTGAAATGGACAGTCAAATAAACGAAAGTTTTCTAATCTTCTTAAAAATCTATTTTGGTCAAAAGAATGAAATGCTTAGTCTTTGAAAATTAATAGTGCGATTGACGGAGATGAGCTGATTTGAACGTTTCGTCGATATAATTTGCCCAAAATTGAAGTAAATCCAATGACTGCACAAATGGCGGCGACAATTAGTATGCGAAATACATAGTGGCCAAAATAATTTTTACTAACAACTTTCTCGTTTAACGAATCAGTAGCAATTGATGAATGGTTATAATTTTGCGATGGATCAATCACATGCAGGTCAAAGCTGAGTTTCACACTGAAAAGCTTCGTCTCATTCAGATGCTTGTATGACATTTTCAGCTCTCTTAATGGTGGCTCTTGAACAAGTTTATACAATGATTTATCCAAATTGTTGTATATAACACAGTTCGAGCCATTTTCATTTTCATCAGGCAAAGGTTGGTCAAGAGTTATTCCAATGCATCCATGGCTAATGTCGTTACAGCTGATAATTTTACTAAAAATGAATCAAATTGAATTAGAATGAAATGTGTAAATAAATGAGCAAAAACAAGACAATCTTACCTGAAATTGAGTTTCATGGCTTCAAGTTTCAAGCAAGTTTCAATATCTGAGTAAAGAAGATTCACTAATTCTGATAGATCAAGCTTTCGATGCCTCAGTAAATCTCAACATAAAAAGACAAATAAAATTAGAAATCGGAATGAAAATGAAAAGCTTCATCAATAAACTCACCAACGATATTTGATCTTTCCATAATTACGACAGAGGCTAATAGATAGGTGCCGTCAAACTGCAATTGAACCAATTTTATCCTCAGATTAGATATTCCAAGCTTAAAACATATTAACTCCTTAAGATTTTCACCCAATTCATCGAGTTTTTCAAACAAAGTAAAAGTTTCCATTGTAGACAATTTTTCTGGAGCTAGGATTTTACCGAAAATAGATAACACAAAGCTTAGCGAAAATTGAAACGAATTGACAATTTCAGTTAAACTTACTTGAAGGTGATAATTGAAGTTTTAAAATATCAAATTTCGCATCTTTAGAAGGTGATAATAAAAGTGCTAAAACATCCATTTTTGCATCCTGAAAACCATTGTTATTGAGAGCGTAAGCTTGATGTCCAGGCTCATAATTCAATTTGGTGTAACCAGAAAAGAAGGTTTTTTGAGTTTTTACCAATCGATATTCCAATGGAGATTTCTGTTCAATAGAAATGAATTAGAATTCAAGACTTGAAAATTAACGCGTGTGAAACATACATTTTCCTTGTTATAAAATTTACGCTCAATTTGGAGATTTTGTAAGATCACGTCTGATGAGATATTTCCTGGCTTGAAATGATAAAATAGTAAATTAAGTTTTGTTCATTTGAAACAATTATTTCAAAATAGAGTTACCATTCTAGCCACTCTAAGAGCTGTGATCACTAAATCATATGAAAATTTTCCAATTTTTTTATCAAAATCGATTTTATCCATGATTAACTCATTTCTGTGTTGATATTTGATTGGCTGAAAGAGAATGTGAAAATGAATAAATGTTAAAGATAAAATGGCCAAAACTTACGAATAAAATTTCTTTTGTGTATCTAAAAGTCCAGGCTATCCCGAAAAACTCTTGCAAGCTTAAGCTTACAAAATTGAATGATTCATTTCGATTGCTTGATTGAATTGCACATCCATTGGTTTTTGAAGTAAACCTTGAATCAGATCCCAATTCATCTACTTGTTCATAGTTGATTCCTTGTCTTGCATGTTTCATCCATGAAATCGGTATCACAGTATCTTTAGTTGAATTAAACTGAAGAGAAAAGAGAATTCACTGAAAACCAGAATAATAGGAACAATCGATAAAATACCTGAATATCAACTGTCGACTGATGAATATGATCCGTTAGAGTTTCATTAAATCCAACATAAAACTGTTGCCCAGTTTCTATTGCTATACTGTCTAAAATGACAAATTTTTCAATTTGCATGGTAATCACATCCGCATCACCATTGCTTAAATTAGCAATAATAATGTACTCCAATTCACTTAAGGCAACCCAAGGAGTAATAATTTTATTTTCTGCAAATTGCAAAATAAATAACATCAGAAGGGTTTCAACACAGATATTATGATTGGACTTCTCACCTGAGAATTTGTAGACCCACAATAATAACTCATTATAATTGTTGCTCACAAATTCGAGCGATCTTACGCCTTCGTAATCTTTATAGCTGTGATCTAAGAGAAATGAATAGCAACTAACCGGACCCAAAATCAACAGCTTATTGATCAATCTGATTGTTGATTTAGGTAATTGTACTCCATCCCAAGTAAAATCACGAATACTTTCCATTTCCATGGCACGATTATCTGGACATCATTGGAAGTAACTATGTAAGTAAGTTTGTTTGAACATGTTTTTAGCTTTAGTCGAACTTACCGAGGAAAACGATCCTTTTTGAAGTGTTGAGGTTGTAATGAACTTGCATCTCGGTGTCACCTTTTTGTATCTTGACCACTCCATTAATAAAGGGATTGAAATAAACTGTTTCAGCCAAGTACCAAGTATTGTTTGATTCCTGAAAAAATAGAGCCATCATTTAATATTGTCTGAGTGAAAAGACATTTGTTTCTTTACCTTATGAGTTATATGGGCTTTAATCAACAAATCGTCTGAACTCATTCTGATTGCAATGGCTGATGGAGAAATAATTCATTAAACTAGTAAATCATTTGGTTTTAGGCTTACCTTGAATGTATTGAAATAGTAAAGCACTTATTACAAGTAAAATTATGATGAAATTCATTTTGTGAAACTTTTCTCCAACAAACAGTGGTTGTAATGTAAATCTTGGGAATGACTTAAACTTAAAGAAAACAAATGACGAGTTTAAGTTAGTTTAAGACAACTAGTTAATAAGAAGCAATAGTTTCTCAATAAATATTACATTGAATCAACAAAGCGTGGATCAACTTCTCCTTGTGCATTTTCAATTTCAATTTAACAATAATCCATTATTTATCAAGTTGAGCCAATGTTATTTGATATTATATTTTGTAATTACTTTAGAAATTGCAAAACTTGATTCTTTTCAGCAAATTTTTGTTGCGAGCAATCACAATTGAATGTCTATAAATCGGCATCAATTTGCATGAGAGAGATTATGTTCTTGGAGCTTAAATTAAGGACTATGTATTCACCGACAACCCGACAACAAGGGACTTGCACTGATTTGTGTGATCATTACAAGATATATTGATTAGTGGAGTAATCGAAATAATAATACGATCGTGTATTTTTAATGTTTGATAAATGGAAGCGATTCATTTAAAAGAAATACTTTATTAAAAGCAAAAAATTTAAGTAAACATTTCTGACTTTTTTATTACAATATTTTAAGGAATCATTGACGCTTGATTTATAATAAATAACTTGAGGAAACCCAATTATGAAGAGGACAAGTACGGAATTGATACAGTTTAGAGTCAAATGCAAACGTAATATCTATCACAATATTGATCAAAATGGAAATAAGGGAGAGTATGATGAAAGATGCGGAAGTTGAGTTTGATTTCGTCTTTTCTGGATTATTAAAGCGTATACTATCTCTAATCGTAACATCAACAACAGCAAATTCAATATCGGAATAGTTGAATCGCCTTCCATTCGAATTGGAATAAGATTTTTCAATTACTTTCAAAGGAACTTCCGCCAATAGTTTGGTTAAATTATGATCTGAACGATCTGACGGTTATCTGAATAGCAAAGCAATCAGGGAGTGTAATAAACTTGCATCGCGATGTCATATTTTTGTATCTTGATTACTCCATGAATTGTGGGCTTTAAATGAACTGTTTCAGCAAAGTACCAAGTATTGTCTGATTCCTGTAAAATTGAAAAAATCATTAAATATTGTTGAGTAAAAAGACATTTGTTTCTTTACTTTAGACTGCAGCTCAAAAGTTTGGAACCGGCATACTTTTTGATGTAGGGACCAAACTATTGAGCCGCACTTACTGAGTTATATTGGCTTTAATCAACATACGGATAGAGAAATTATTCATTAAACTGGCAAATCATTTGGATTTGAATGGAGACTTACCTTGATTAAATTGCAACAATAAAGCGAATATTAAAAGTAAAATCAGGACGAAATCCTGTGTGAAACTTTTAACCCAACAAACATTTGCTGTAATGTGAATCTTTGGAATGATGTAAACTTTAAGAAAACAAATAAACTCAAGTGATCTTTGATCATCAAAGAGTTGTTAATCTTAAGACAACTAATTAGTTTTCTGGATAAACACATTGACTCAACAAAGAGTGAAGAACTTTCCTGTTTTATTTTCAATTCCAATGTAATGAATGATCAATTTATCAATGTGAGCAATGCTATTTGATATTAATGATAATATTATATTTTTTAATTACTTTATCAATCCTAAAACTTGCTTCTTTTCAGAAAACTTCTTGGAGCTTCAATTTAAACCTAAGTATTGACCGAATACACGACATCAAGTGACTCACACTGCTTTGTGTGATCATTACAAGATATGTTTATGCAATAAGATTTACGTATTTCTTCACAAGACACATATGCCAATAGTTTAGTCAAATTATGATCTGAATTGTTGAACAGCCCACAGTCCAATCAATTTTATTTCCATAAATAAATTTTAGTTTAAATGAGTATTTTAAGGTCACAGTTTACACTGATGATGTTATAATCTTATGAGTCTTTCAAAATTGTTAGTGAAATTGACAGAGATGAGCTGATTTGAACGTTTCGTCGATATAATTTGCCCAAAATTGAAGTAAATCCAATGACTGCACAAATGGCGGCGACAATTAGTATGAGAAATACATAGTGGCCAAAATAATTTTTACTAACAACTTTCTCGTTTAACGAATCAGTAGCAATTGATGATTTTGGCCATTATTTATTATCTCGTATTCTAACACTGCGAAGCTCAGCTTGATACTGCAAAGCGTTGTTTGATCCAGTAGTTTGTATGACATTTTCAGTTCTCTTAATGATGGCTCTTGAACAAGTTTATACAATACTTTATCCAAATTGTTGTATACAACAGCGTTTGATCTATCTTCATTTTGCTCAGGCAAAGGCTGAACAAGAGTTATTCCAATGCATCCATGGCTAATGTCATTACAGCTGATAATTTTACTAAAAATGAATTAAATTGAATAAAAATGAAATGTGTGAATAAATGAGCAGAAACAAGTCAATCTTACCTGAAATTGAGTTTCTAAACATACATTTTCCTTGTTATAAAGTTTACGTTCAACTTGGAGATTTTGCAAGACCAGATCTGATGAGATATTTCTAGGCTTGAAAATGATGTAAAAAGTGATTCTTTCAGGAAAATAAGGTACCCTTCTAGCCACCTTGAGCGTTGTGCTCACTAAATCGTATGAAAAGTTTCCAATTTGTTTATTAAACTCCATTTTATGCGTGATTATCTGGTCTCTGTGTTGATATTTGATTGACTGGAAAAGAGTGTGAAAATGAATAAAACGTTGAGGAAGAAACTGCAAAAACTCACGAATAAGATTTCGTTTGCGTATCTAAAAATCCAGGCTTTTCCGAAAAATTCTTGCAAGCTTAAGCTTACAAAATTGATTGATTCATTTCGATTGCTTGATCGAACCGCACATCCATTTGTTGTTGAAGTAAAGCTTGAACCAGATCCCAAGTCATCTACTTGTTCATAGTTGATTCCTTGTCTTGCATACTTCGTCCATGAAATTGGTATCACAGTATCTTTAGTTGAATTAAACTGAAGAGAAAAGAGAATTCACTGAAAACCAGAATAATAGGAACAATCGATAAAATACCTGAATATCAACTGTTGACTGATGAATATGATCAGTTAGAGTTTCATTGAATCCAACATAAAACCGTTGCCCTGTTTCTATTACTACACTATTTAACAGTAAAGCACTTATTACAAGTAAAATTAGGATGAAATTCATTTTGTGAAACTTTTCTCCAACAAACAGTTGTTGTAATGTAAATCTTGGGAATGACTTAAACTTAAAGAAAACAAATGATGAGTTTAAGTTAGTTTAAGACAACTAGTTAATAAGAAGCAATAGTTTCTCAATAAATATTACATTGAATCAACAAAGCGTGGATCAACTTTCCTGTTTATATTTCAATTTCAATATAATAATAATCCATTATTTATCAAGTTGAGCCAATGTTATTTGATATTAGATTTTGTAATTACTTTAGCAATTGCAAAACTTGATTCTTTTCAGCAAATTTTTGTTGCGAGCAATCACAATTGAATGTCTATAAATCGGCATCAACAATAATTTTGCTCAAAAGAGGCTGCTCTTGGAGCTTTCTTTAGACCTATGCATTGACCGAATACAAGAAATCAAGTGACTTACACTGCTTAGTGTGATCATTATAATAAATGTTTATTAGAGAAGTAAGCAAGATAATGATACAATGTATTTTCAAAATATGATGAATGTTTGATAAAATGGAAGCGAAACCCAATCATTAAGAGAATTAGTTCGGCGTTGGGACATTTTGTAGCCTAATGCATTCGTCATAATTGATGTATATGGAAAATATAAGAAAAATATGAAAATAGAGTTCGATTTTCGCTTTTCAATTGTAACATCAATAACAGCAAATTCAGTAGCGGAATAGTTGAATTGGCTTATGCATTGACCGAATACACGAAATCAAGTGACTTACAAAGTATTATAAGAAAATTAAGGAGAATAATATTACAGTGTATTTTTGACATTTGATGCATATTTGATAAAATGGAAGCGACTTGTACAAAAAACATACTTTTATTGAAAGCAAAAATTTAATTAAATAGAATGAAAATATTTCTGATCTCTTATTGCATTATTTTTATGAATCGCTGAGTGCTTTATTCCAGTAATTTGCGTGAAACCCAATCATGAAGAGGATAAGTTTTGGATGAAATGCAAATTCAAAGCGCAAACTATTTGATTTAGCTGTGAAACATAATTTTATCTGATTTAGTTTTTCAAATTGACGATGGTTTTAATCAAGAATTTGAGTCTTTAAATATTCAGTTGAGTTTGTGCAGAGAAAAGAAATTTACGATCAGTCATGATCGTGGGCTCCACTTGTATTATAATAATCCATTATTTATCAAGTTGAGCCAATGTTATTTGATATTAGATTTTGTAATTACTTTAGCAATTGCAAAACTTGATTCTTTTCAGCAAATTTTTGTTGCGAGCAATCACAATTGAATGTCTATAAATCGGCATCAACAATAATTTTGCTCAAAAGAGGCTGCTCTTGGAGCTTTCTTTAGGCTTATGCATTGACCGAATACAAGAAATCAAGTGACTTACACTGCTTAGTGTGATCATTATAATAAATTTTTATTAGAGAAGTAAGCAAGATAATGATACAATGTATTTTCAAAATATGATGAATGTTTGATAAAATGGAAGCGAAACCCAATCATTAAGAGAATTAGTTCGGCGTTGGGACATTTTGTAGCCTAATGCATTCGTCATAATTGATGTATATGGAAAATATAAGAAAAATATGAAAATAGAGTTCGATTTTCGCTTTTCAATTGTAACATCAATAACAGCAAATTCAGTAGCGGAATAGTTGAATTGGCTTATGCATTGACCGAATACACGAAATCAAGTGACTTACAAAGTATTATAAGTAGTTTAGTTAAACTATGATCTGAATTTTCAAACAGCATACAGCTCAATCCATTTTCATCTTCATCTGGTTATAAAACTCCATCAGAAATTCCAAGGCATGGATATTGTCCAATTTGTTTCGATATTTACTCTCTATGATTTATCGTGAAAAGCCAACTGACCTTATATTGACATTATGAGTTTGAAAACGTAAACAAGCATCGATAGTCGATGTATAAATTTGACCAGATGCAGTTGATTTGATGTTGAACTAATGCGAAGCATCTTTCTTTATTTCTGTGTAAAAATAATGACAATCTGTTCATTAGAATGAAAAAATTTTCTCATTGACAATGATTTTACATCGACCATTCGAGTCTTTAAATGTGGATTGAATTTATTGTATTCAGTAGAAAGAAATTTACGACCAGCCATGATCGTAGTAATAAACTTGAAGAGAATACAGAAACAATAAGAATTTTTAATACTTTCATTTAAATTTGTTAAAAATTCAGAGTCTTTAGATTCAAATAAGTATTTTAAGGTCACAATTTATACTGATAATGTTATAATCTTATGAATCTTTCAAAACTGTCAGTGAAATTGACGGAGATGAGCTGATTCGAACGTTTCGTCGATATAATTTGCACGCAATTGCAGCGAAGCCAATGACGACGCAAACGAGGGCGACAATCAGTAAAAGATACAGTTGCCTAAACAATTTCTACAATAAATTTTCACATTGAACGAATCAGAATCAATTGGTGAATGGCTATCATTTGATTCGATTGGATGTAGGTCAAAGTTTAGTTCAGCACTGGAAAGCGTTGTTTGATTTAGATGTTTGTATGACATTTTCAGTTCTCTTAATGATGGCTCTTGAACAAGTTTATACAATACTTTATCCAAATTGTTGTATATAACAGCGTTTGATGTATCTTCATTTTGCTCAGGCAAAGGCTGATCAAGCGTTATTCCAATGCATCCGAAGCTAATGTCATTGCAGCTGATGATTTTACTAAAAATCAATAAAATTGAATTAGACGTAAAGTAGAAATAAACTTGAGAATGAATGACCAAATACAAGACGATCTTACCTGACATTGCTTTTCATGGCTTCAAGTTCCAAGCGAGTTTGTGAGTAAAGAAAATGTAAAAATCCTGATAGGTCAAGCTTTCGATAAATCAGTAAGTCTCAACATAAAAAAGACAAATAAAATGATTAATTGTGTTGAACTCGACAATAGCCTTAGCAATAAACTTACCAACGAAATTGAACCTTTCAGTAATTTTGACTGTGGCTATTAGATAAGTACTGTGAAACTGTAATCGAACCGATTTTATCCTCAGATAAGATATTCCAAGCTTGAAACATATTAAATCCTTAAGATTTTCGCTCAACTCATCAAGTCTATTGAGCAAAGAATATGTTTCGATTGCAGACAAATTTTCTGGCGTAAAAAGTTTAGCGAAAAAAAAACAATTACAAAGTTCAGCAAAAATTGAAACCGAGTTGACGATTTAGTCAACTTACTTGAATATGTCAGTCGAAGGGTTAAGACATCTATTTTTTCATCTTGAAACCACTTGTTATTGAGAGTGTAAACTCGATGTTTAGGCTCATAATTCAATTTGATGTAACCATAAAAGAAGCTTTTCTGAGTTTTTATCAATTGATAATCCAATGAAGATTTCTGTTAAATGAAAATGAATTAGAACTGAAAACTTAAAATTAAATTAACTCGATCTAACATACATTTTCCTTGTTATACAGTTTGCGTTCAACTTGAAGATTTTTCAAGATCAGGTCTGATGAGATATTCCCAGGCTTGAATTGCTAAAATAATAAATTCAGTATTGGTCATTTGAAACGATTATTCCAAAAAAGGTTACCTTTCTAGCCACCCTAAGAGTTGTGATCACTAAATCGTACGAGAAGTTTCCAATTTGTTTATCGAACTCTATTTTATCCATAATTAACTTGTCACTGTGTTGATATTTGATTGGCTGAAAGAGAGTATAAAAATGACTATAGTGTTGGGGATAAAATTTCAAAAACTTACGAATAAAATTTCATTTGTGTATCTGAAAGTCCAGTTCGTCCAGAAAGACTCTCGAAAGCTTAAGCTTGCAAAATTGAATGATTCATTTCGATTGGTTGATTGAATTGTATAACCATCGGTTGTTGAATTAAACCCTGAACCATATCGTAATTCATCTGCATAGCCCATTCCTTGTCTTGCATACTTCAGCCATGAATTCAGAATCATGGTATCTTTAGTTAAATCAAACTGAAGAAAAAAGAAAATGACTGAAAACCAGAATAAAAGCATAAACAGAAACAATACCTGAGTATCAACTGTTGATTGATGAATATGATCAGTTAGAGTTTCATTGAATCCAACATAAAACTGTTGCCCAGCTGCTATCATAATACTATCTAAAATGACGAATTTCTCAATTTGCATGGTAACCAAAGGACTATTGATTGAATTATAAATAGTAATGTTGTCCAATTCACTCAGGAGCACAAAAGGAGTGATACTGTCTAATAATTGAAGATAAAAAATATCAACAGAATTATCTCTATTAAGAAAAGATGATTTCACTTCTCACTATTGAATTTGTAGACCCAAGATAATAGTTGATCATCATTGTAATTGTAATAATTATATGACAGCGATCTTTGTTCTTTGTATTCATTATAATTGTAATTTAAGAGAAATAAATAGCAATTAACCGGACCCGAAATCAACAGTTCATTGATCAATCTGATTATTGATACACGTAATTGTACATTCCAAGAGAAATTACGAATACTTTCCATTTCCATGGCACGGTTTTCTGAATAGCATTGGAATCAGTGAGTTGAGTGTATACAGCATCGCAAGTAATTTTAGAGCTGGTTACGTTATCTTTTGCACATTGTTTGGTAACCAAGCATTTCGATAGTCAATTTTTTGAGATAAATTAAGCACAATCGACAACGATTCAATGCATTGACCAATGAGTTTCGGGTTGATGTTGATTGTGCTTAATTTATCTCTAAAAATTTGCTATTAAAATATGCTTAGTTACCAAACAATGTGCAAAAGATAACGTAACCAGCTCTAATTTTCACTTTCGATGCTGTATGCATGAACATGTTTGCAGCTTTAGTCAAACTTACCAAAGAAAACGATTCTTTTGAAGTGTGAGATTATAATGAACTTGCATCTCGATGTCACCTTTCTGTATCTTGATTACTCCATGAATAAAGGGCTTGAAATAAACTGTTTCAGCCAAATACCAAGTATTGTTTGATTCCTAAAAATAAAAAAAATCATTTAATATTGTTGAGTAAAAAGACATTTGTTTCTTTACCTCATTAGTTATATTGGCTTTAATCAACAAATCGTAAGAACTTAATTCGATTTTAGTGGCTGATAGAGAAATTATTCATTAAACTGGTAAATCATTTGGGTTGGTATGGAGACTTACCTTGATTGATTTGAAACAGTAAAGTGATTATTACAAGTGAAATTATGATGAGATTCATTTTGTAAAACTTTCAACCAACAAACAGTTGTTGTAATGTGAATCTTTGGAATGATATCAACTTAACTTAAAGAAAACAAATTAGCTCAAATGATCTTTCATGATCCAAACACAAAACGCCCTTTCCGTTGTTCATCTTAAGACATAACTATTATCAGATTTCTGAATAAACAAATGGACTCAACAAAGGGCTTGATCGATCAATTTTCCTGTTTATCTTTAAATTTTAATGATCAATTATTTATCAATGTGCACAATGTGATTTAATGTTGTATTTTGTAATTAAGCATATTAAATAACAGACTGATGATAAAATGATTTCACAATGTAACCAACTCGATTATTCTCGAAAATTTATTGCGAGTAACCATAGCTGGGTCTCTGTGAATTAACATCAATCATTTCAAGTTGAATGGTTGAATTATTAAAGCTTGAATTGAGGCATTTGGATGACACAAAGATGTGACTGCCAGTGACTGATCGCTGCAAAGTATTTTGATTGAATTGAATAATTTGAACAATTTTTTCAAAAATATCCTTTTATTAGAGCGAAAATTTGAGTTAACAGATTGGAAACATTTTTGTGCATGAATTTTATGGTTCTTGCAATATTTTTAAAAATCAGATGCTTGATTTGAATAATTTAAGCGAAACATAATCACGAAGAGAATGAGTTCGGAATTGATACAGTTTATAGCTAAATGCAAACTTGACAAATATCACAATATTGATCGATATAGAAAATACTAATAAAAGTGTGAAATTTGAGCTTGATTTCGCCTTTTCTGGACTATCAAGGCGTATACCATCTCCAATCGTAACATCAACAACAGCAAATTCAATATCAGAATAGTTGAATTGACTTCCATTCAAATTGAAATAAGATTTTTTAATCACTTCCAAAGGAACTCCTGCCAATAGTTTAGTCGAACTAAGATCTGAATTGTTGTACAACATACAGTTTAATCCATTTTCATTTTCATCAGGCAATGAGTCTCCATGAGCAATTCCAAGGCATAAATAATCTCCAGTCTTACAAGTTATAACATAACTGAAAGATAACAAATTTTGATGATATCAAGAGACTTATTTTCAAAAAATTTACTGACCTTAGATTGACTTTAGAAGCTTGTACATGTATACATTCATCAATGGTTGATGTATGAGTTTGACCAGAGCCAGTTGATTTGACGTTGAATTTATGCGAAACTCCTTTCTTTGTTTCTAAGCGAAAAACGTTTCATTAATAGATCGAAGTAATGAGTTATTAATAATTGCAAGAAACTTACCAAAGATGATAACAGATGAGTCTAATATTTCAACCTTCGCCATGATTTGTGAGTTTTCATAGCTAAATTTGATCCAGTTTATTCTCAAATAAGATATATTCAATTTATCAATGAGCAAACCTCGAAGAACATCTTTGATACGATAGATTTCGGCTTGCAATTCGTTAATTTTGTCTGCCAGCAAATGATCTGTTCATTGCAATGAAAAATATTTTCTCATTACTGACTAGAAAATAATGATTAAATATGACATATTTACTTAATAATGAAATTTTTAAACGAAGAATAACTTTGTCTTTTCTGTCTTTGAAGCATTGATTATATGAATCAATCATGCGGTGAAACTTGTCTCTGTCTAAGTGGTGCGAAATTTCAAGCAAGCATATTACCTTTCTTTCAGTGAGTTCGTAATCGAATGGTACCTAATAAGGAAAAGGAGATTATTTCATTTTGCGTTTCATTCCAGTTTAAATCTTATCGTACCTCATTTGAAACAGAATTCGAATAAAGGTCCATTTGAACACAGAAATCTTCGAGCCTTCCACTTTCCACTATCCATCTTGACTTGGATTCAGAGTATTTTTTATTATTAATATTACAAAAACGCAGAAATCTTTTTTATTCTGTATGAAATGAAACTTACGGCATTATCTGGTGCTAGATAGGTTTTCACAACCGAATCATACTTTACATTACCAATTGTTACATTGTGCTTTGCTACAACCCTCAGTTTCTTGCTGTATGGTTCAACCTAGTTAATGTTTATAAAAAAAAGTTTATGCCTTTGTGGATTGAATGTTGCTTTTTTGAACTCACCGGATTCTTAGGAAAATAAAGTTCATTTATAAACTCCGTTACATAGTCTTCTGAAGCTACGTAATTGAATTCATCATCAAAGCTGCTTGATACAATTATGCATTCATCGTGACCAGATGGAATGTATTTCAAACCAAATTTACGGTCATAAACCATTTCGACATGGAATCGTTTGTAATTGATCTCGACCAAGGTGACTGAGTCCAATGATGTGAAATAAAGCTATTGACAATCCGAAAGTAAAAACATTAGAGTTCATTAAATATGGATTGAATTTATTTAATTCAGTGGGAAGAAATTTAAGATCAGTCATGATCGGGGGATCTGTTCGTAATATTTGTCATGACTATTACTTCGAGACAAGATTCATCGAAAGGCAAAAAAAACACTCACCTGAGTTTGTTTGTCACCATGTTTTTTATCGATGTCTGATTTTTTGTATTCAATGATTGATTAATTCAATTTGTACTGAATAGCTTTTGTTGACTTTGATACGTTGACTTGTACTAAAGACTCGATTTGTGTTATGTTTGACACCAGTGTTCGAATGCTACTATCCCGTATAATAAACTCTTTAGTCTGATCTGAAAGTTATTTATGTAAAGCATTATTACACTCGATTCATCTTCGCAAACAAACCTTTAAAAGATGCCTCCAAATACAAAGTACCACAACGATAAGTTGTCAAATTTCCAGTATGTACCGCATTTTCACTAGTTTCACATGATATCATACGATAACGTCCCAACAACAGTGTGGCTTTCACACTCTGAGCTGTAGATCCAGTAAATTCCTTTAAAATTTCATCCAACAAATCAGCATTTCGTCGACATAAATTTTCTGGTCAATTAGTTTACAAGGATTGAAGTTTCATTATATTACATTATAATACAAACAATTCTAGTAATTATTCACTGAATACGATAAATTTTTTGGTTACTTACGAACACAGACCAATGTAATGTTTTGAGTTTTAAAATCACGAAACACTTTTATTTGAGTTCCTTCCTTTTCATCGGTTATTAATGTTACGGTCATGTTTTTTTCATCGCCAAATACTGACTCTTCTATCAACCAACTCTTATAAAGCCAATCCCATGCTCCTGACTTTAATTGATCTACACCCTGATGTATACCCTTAAAATAATCAATTTGTAAGAAATCAAAGTCAGTTTACCATGTGAGTAAAGCTTACCTAATTTAGCTTTCAATAAAAAATTTCGCCCTAGTCCAGATAGTTCCTTGTAACCTTGTTGATAGCCTGTTTTTAAATTATATAAAATCATAAATATCGATACAAAATATTTACTTGGGAACATTTTGCAGGTAAAAGTTTAACATAGAATACTATAAGGAATATCACAATCGATCAATGTTATTGTTTATGATCTAAAAACATAAAATCTAATGAAGCCATTGCTCATCAACTCGTCAGAATTAACATGTAACTTTTCTTTAGAACGCCTTCAATTCCCATGCTTCGTTATACTATCTCTGCGCCCTCTTCATTAAATTAAAATAAGGTTTAAAATACTTATTAGTTGAACGCTGACATGATGTAAGATTGCTAGAAATCACATTAAAATTCTAACAAGTCTAAAAGTCCAACTTGTAAGCAATAAGATCTCGAGGGTAAGGTAGCAATACTTATCAAACTAACTTTCATAAGAGTTATTTAATTGCTGTTTCTTTTGTTTAATTTTTCCATATTAACATCTGTATTTACAAGTATTAAAAATGAATTTTGAGCAGCGTTTCAGTCACTGCATGACACTATTCAAACTGATTTTATTTTAATGAAAAGGTTTACAGCTGATGCTGAAAACTTTTGCTTACATTATTGACCGTTTGATTAGTAACTACAATGTTATTTTCATGTTTATTCAGATTATCGTGATCAATGCAAACAAATTGTTGAAATACAGTAGGGTTATTCTTGACTTTATTTATTTCATTTCACCTTGTTACAGGAATAAGGATGCAGCTAATCATCACGCACAAGAGTGTGAAGAGTGAATCCGAGAAGTTACACTCGCAGTGCAGGGCGGATGCGGTCTCCACGACCGTTTACAAATTGAAATTATACAATAATTTGAAATTGTTCAATACAAAAATTCGCCATTTTAACCACAAAGTAAGTTTACAATTTAAGTAAGTAATTCATGGTTGCCAATTTACACTGATAATGTTATAATCTTATGAATCTTTCAAAACTGTCAGTGAAATTGACGGAGATGAGCTGATTTGAACGTTTCGTCGATATAATTTGCTAAAAATTGCAGCAAATCCAATGACTGCACAAATGATGGCCACAATTAGTATAAAAAATACATAATGACCAAAATAATTTTTACTACCAACTTTCTCATTAAACGAATCAGTATCAATCGATGAATGGATATCATTTTGCGATGAGTCAATTAGATGTAGGTCAAAGTTTAGTTCAGCACTGGAAAGCGTTGTTTGATTCAGATGTTTGTATGACATTTTCAGATCTCTTAATGATGGCTCTTGAACAAGTTTATACAATACTTTATCCAAATTGTTGTATAAAACACAATTTGAGCCATTTTCATTTGCCACAGGCAAAGGCTGGTCAACAGTTATTCCAATGCATCCATGGCTAATGTCATTACAGCTGATAATTTTACTAAAATCAATAAAATCAATTTAGAATGAAAGGGAGAAATGAATTAGAGAATAAATGACCAAAAACAAGACAATCTTACCTGACATTTCTTTTCATGGCTTCAAGTCTCAAGCATGTTACAATATCCGAGTAAAAATCAGTCAGAAATCCAGATACATCCAGCTTGCGATGACTTTTTCTTGGTAAATCTCAACATGAAAAGACAAATAAAATGATTAATCGGAATGAAATTGACAAAAGGCTCATCGATAAACTCACCAACGAAATCGAATCTTTCGGTAATTTCGACTGTGGCTATTAGATAAGTGCTGTGAATCTGAAATCTAACCGATTTTATCCTCAGATAAGATATTCCAAGCTTGAAACACATTAACTTTTCAAGATTTTCACGCAACTCGACGCTATTGACTATTGAATATGTTTCGATTGGAGACAATTTTTCTGGCGTGAAGAGATTATCGAAAAAAAAACAGAAATAAAAACGAAAATTAGAACAAATTGAAAATCTCAGTTAAACACGCTTGAAGATGTTAATCAACGTGTTAATAAATCTACGTACTTGAAGGTGTTACTCGAAGTGTTAAAACATCCATTTTGGCATCTTGGAAACACTTTTTATTGAGAGCATAAACTAGATGTTCAGGCTCATAATTCAATTCGGTGTAACCATAAAAGAAGCTTTTCTGAGTTTTTATTAGTTGATATTCCAATGAAGATTCCTATTAAATAGAAAGGAATTAGAATTGAAAACTTGAAAATTAACTCGATCTTAACATACATTTTCTTTGTTATAAAGCTTTCGTTCAACTTGAAGATTTTGCAGGATCAAGTCTGATGAGATGTTTTCAGGCTTAAAAATGAAGGAGAAGTAAATTCAGTATTAATCATTTGAAACGATTCATTTGAGAAAAAAAGTTACCCTTCTATCCACTCTAAGAGTTGTGATCACTAAATCGTACGAGAAGTTTCCAATTTGTTTATCGAACTCTATTTTATCCATAATTAACTTGTCACTGTGTTGATATTTGATTGGCTGAAAAGAGTGTAAAAGTGAATAAATTTTTAAGGATTTTTATCCATTTTTCGTTGACTATCCTGGGCAAAACTCACGAATAAAATTTCATTTGTGTATCTGAAAGCCAAGTTCGTCAAAAATATTTCGTGAAAGCTTAAGCTTGCAAAATTGAATGATTCATTTCGATTGCTTGAATGAATTGCACAGTCATCGGCTGTTGAATCAAACTCTGAACCATATCGTAAGTCATCTACTTCTTCATAGTTGATTCCTTGTCTTGCATACTTTATCCATGAAATTGGTACTTTGCTATCTCTAGTTAAATCAAACTAAAGAAAAAAGAAAATGACTGAAAACCAGAATAAAAGCATAAACATAAACAATACCTGAGTATCAACTGTTGATTGATGAATATGATCAGTTAGAGTTTCATTGAATCCAACAAAAAACTGTTGCCCAGTTTCTATTACTACACTATTTAAACTGACAATTTTGTCAATTTTCATGGTAATCGCAGGACCATTTGCCGAATTAGAAATAGTTATGTTATCCAATTCACGTAATTCAACATAAGGTGTAAGACTTGCTAACGATTGGAAAGACAAAATATCATCAGAAGTGGTTTCTATCAGGCAAAGATGACTGGTCTTCTTACCTATGAATTTGTAGACCCAAAATAATGACTGTCCATCATTTTTACTCCGAAATTTGATCGCTCTTTCGCTTTCATTTTCTTGATAGCTGTAATCTAAGAGGAATGAATAGCAATTAACCGGACCGAATATCAACTTATTGATTAATCTGATCGTTGATACAGGTAATTGTACACCGTTCCAAGTGAAATCGCGAATACTTCCCATTTCCATGGCACGATTATCTGAATAGCATTGGAATCAATGAGTTTAGTGTATTTGTTTGAATAAGATTGTAGCATCAGTCCAACTTACCGAGAAAAACGATTCTTTTTGAAGTGTTGAGATTGTAATGAACTTGCATCTCGATGTCATCTTTTTGTATCCTGATTACTCCATGAATTTCGGGCTTGAAATAAACTGTTTCAGCCAAGTACCAAGTATTTTTTGATTCCTAAAAATAAAAAAAATCATTCAATATTGTTGAGTAAAAAGACATTTGTTTCTTTACCTCATGAGTTATTTTGGCTTTAATCAACAAATTGTTTGAACTCATTCTGATTTCAGTGGCTGATAGAGAAATTATTCATTAAACTGGTAAATGATTTGATGTGGAAGGAGACTTACCTTGATTCAACTGAAACAGTAAAGTCAATATTACAAGTGAAATTATGATGAAATTCATTTTGGTAAAACTTTTAACCAACAAACAGTTGTTGTAATGTGAATCTTTGGAATGATATCCTCTCAAAGAAAACGATGAGCTCAAATGATCTCTGATCATCAAATACACAAAACGCCCTTTCCGTTTTTCATTTTAAAACATAACTAATTAGACTTCTGAACATACGAGTTGACTCAACAAAGCGCGTGATCGATCAATTTTTATGATGATGATAAAATGATTTTAATTTAAGTTTAGACTTGAATCTTCTCACAAATTTTTCTCAGAAACTTTTTCACAAGCCAATAAAATCGAATCTCTATGAGTTAATATCAATCATTTTAAACGTTTAACGTTCGAATTATCGGCACTTGAATTGGCGCATATGCATTAGACGGAGCCTCAAGTGACTTCCATTTTTTTCTGTGATCACTACATCATATGTTGATTAAATTTCTAAAATTATACCGAATTTGTTTAAAAATATTATACTAAACATTAAATGTATAAAAAATTAAAGTCAACAGTTTGAAAACATTTCTTTTTTTATTTTGCTATTCTTGCAATATTTTTAGGAATCAGATGCTTGATTTGATTAATTTGAGCGAGAAACTTTCATGAAGAGAATAATTTCGGCGTTGAATCAGTCTGAAGTCAAATGCAAGCTTAATAAATATCACAATAGTGATCAATATGGAGTATATGAAGAAGAATACGCTAGTTGAGTTCGATTTCGCCTTTTCTGGAGCATCTTGGATTGTAACATCAACTACAGCAAATTTAACCCCCAAAGAACTGAATTGACTTTCATACAATTTGAGATAAGATTTTTCAATTACTTTCAAAGGAGCTTCTGCCGATAGTCTGGATAAACGCTGATCTGAATTGCTAAACACCATGCAATCCAATCCATTGTGATCTTCATCTGGTAATGAGTCTCCATGACCAATTCCAAGGCATAAATAATCTCCGCGAGTTTTACAAGTTATAACATCACTACAAGATAACAAGTTTTATGATATCAAGAAATTCATTTTCACAAAATTAACTAACCTTAAATTGACTTTAACAGCTTTAAGATGTAAGCATTCATCAATTGTTGATGTATAAATTTGACCAGATTCAGTTGATTTGATCTTGAATTTATGCGAAACTCCTCTCTTTTTTACTGCGTAAAAATGATGCTATTAGTTTGATGATTCAATGATTTCAAGTTATCAAAATCTTACAAAAGTCAATAACGATTGAGTCAGAAATCTCAACTTTCACCATAATGTTGTAATGAAAATAGCTGAATTTTATCAAGTTTATTCTTAAAAATGATATTCCCAGTTTGTCCATGAGTAATCTTCGTAACTCCTTCTTAATTGCAAAAATGCCACCAATTGCATTATGAAGTTTTTTCGTAGTCGACTGATCTATTGCAATGAAAAATATGTTTATGAGATTATCCAAAAATCAGAATAAAATACAATTTTTACCTAAACACGAAATCTTTAAATTGAGGATAATTCCTTCTTTCCTCTCTTTGAAACATCGATCATGCAAATACGCTATTTCATTAAAATCGTCATTGAAATGCCAACCATCAGAAAAAGATATCACTCTTGATTCAATATAATCGTATTGAAATGATTCCTAATTAAATAAGAAAAGTGTTATCATTGAAATCACACACTCATTGCATCGTACCTGATTTGTTGCAGATTTTGAATAGAGCTTTTGTTCGATAGATAAACCTTCAAACCAATCGGAGTAATAGAATAAAGAGCCTAAATAAGAGGTCTAAATAGATAAAAAATAGAAATGTTTTATATTTATCAGAATTATGAAATGAAACTTACATTAGGTGAAGTTGAGTAAGTTGTTACAACCAAGTCATAATTGACATTATCAATCGCTTTATTGTATTCAGCTTTCACCATGAACTTATTGCTGTATGAGGCGACCTAGCTATGCAGAAATATTTGTGTGATTTTACTTGTTGATCCATCAATGAAATTGTAGAACTCACCGGGTTCTTTGGAAAGTAAGATTCGTTCCCATAATAATCGGGATTCACCAAAATTAATTTATCTGGAGCATCGCCCAATTCAATTGCACATTCATTTAAGCCAGATAAAGTATATTTCATACCAAATTTATAGTCGTAAACCAACTCACGTTCATTCAACTTTCCATCACTAATCTTTATTGATGAAACCGAATCTATTGATGTGATGGTAAACTATTGAAAATTAAACAATAAAAAATATCGCATTTCAATTTTCAATAACTTTAAAACAATTTTCCCGATTTGTATGAACTTACAAAAATTTTTCTGGGACCAATGACTTCAGTCAATCCGTCAATGTAACCTCCATCTTTCTTTGTAATGGTTATCCTTTCAAAGGGCTCAACCTGTGTTATATATAATATCACATTTCGATCTTGTCCTGCAGTAATAGTGATTTTTAGAGCATTTTTCAAGCCCGTCAATTCTTTATTAGACCGACCTATAAATTATTCATAGAATGAATTATTTGAACCTTTCGGCACGTTCTAATTAGTCTTCAAACAGACCTGAAAATACTGCAGTCATTTCCATATATTGAGTCGATCCATTACCAGTATCAACCCATCGATGAATTTTGTCATTTGTTTCATTGGCAAAATATGATATTATACGATAAGGTCCCATCAATAGCGCGCTTTTCACGATTCGGGTCACCATTTCATGTTCACTGTGGAATTGGTAATTCCGCAAATCTCCATCATGATAACAGTGTTTGAATGCTAAATTGCAATAAATCCTTTTTCAGTTCATTGTCTCACTATTTTTTCAGTACTTACGAAAACAGACCAACTCAATACGTTGAGTTTCGAATTCACGGAATATTTCTATTGGATTTGCTTCATGATTGATTAAAGTTACAATTCTGTTTCTTTCATCACTATATATTGACTCTTCTATGTGAAAATCATTTGAAGATCCTTCGATTGTCTACATGAAGTTAGATAATTTTCCAAGAATTAAATTGAGCTTATAAATGAACTCAAACTTACCTCATAATTCAATCTTGCTTTTATCAAAAAGTTAGTTTCATTTCCAAAAGGATGTTGCAAATCAAATTTTTGGTTTTCTATTCGGAAAAGAAATCGAAATGAATTCATTTTTATTATGAAAGTAATTTATCAGAATGCTTACCATTAAGGACTCGCCATCTATCTATTGGATCAAATCCATTTGAAGATTTGATCGAATCATATAAAGTTATAAATATCAATACAAAATATTTGTTTACAAACATTTTTCGGGTGAAGCTTTAAAATAAACACAATAAGAATATCGAACTTCTAACTCTATACATTAAATGGTTAAAGTTTAATAAAGCTTATTTCCATGGGCTTTCGCCTAGTTCACCAATTTTTTAATGTACGCCTACAGTTCGCATACTCGTCATATCTGTTTTACGCCTCTTTAAAATTAGATCGGATGAGGAAAGGGGAGGAATATTCAATCAACAATCAAGAAATAGTTCACTTAATTGGATTTAATGTTTAGGCAAAATGATTTTTAATACTAATTAGTAATTATCATTCGTATTTCAGATAAGTTAATTTTTCAACAAAAGTATTTCCTTTTTCTGGTTCTTTGCTGGTCATGTTCTTGTACTTTTTATTGGTTTCAAGAACTTAGAAATATATTTTTTGTTGTTTTATGTTTGGTTATTATTCTGGTTGTTCATATTAAGACACAACTAATTAGGTTTCGAAATTACAAATTGACTCAACGAAGTGCCAGCCTTCAATTGAGGCACAATTGGCCTACACTGATTTGTATGATCCTTCAAGATAATTAGCTGATTAGCTCAGTAACACGGAATTGTATTAAAGTTGTGCATTTTTAGAGTGACGGTGAAACGGCTAATTAACAGCGATTTATTTAAAAAACATACTTTTATTGAAAGAAAAATTTTAATAAACAGATAAAAAACATTTCTGTCTTGATTTTATCATAGCAATGTTATTAGGAATCAGATACTTGATTTTAATAATTTAAGCGAAACGTAATCACGAAGAGAATAATTTCGCCATTGAAACAGTTTAAAGTCAAATGCAAACTTAGCAAATATCACAATAGTGATCAATATGGAAAATATGAAGAAGAATACGCAAGTTGAGCTCGATGACGCCTTTGCTGGACTATCAAGGCGTATACCATCTCCAATCGTAACATCAACTATAGCAAATTCAATACCCACAGAGCTGAATTGACTTCCATTCAAATTGAGATAAGATTTTTCAATTACTTTCAAAGTAACTTCTTCCGCAAGCCTGGATAAACGCTGATCTGAATTACTAAACACCATACAATCCAATCCATTGTTATCTTTATCTGGTAATGAGTCTCCATGAGCAACTCCAAGGCATAAATAATGGCCTCTTTCACAGGCAATAACATAACTGAAAGATGATAAGTTTCGATGGTATCAAGAAATTCATCTAAACAATTAATATTAACTGACCTTAGATTGGCTTTAGAAGCTTGAAGACGTAAACATTCATCAATGGTTGATGTATGAATCTGGCCAGATTCAGATGATTGGATATTGAATTTATGCAAAACTCCTTTCTTTGATTCTAAGCAAAAACGATTTATTAATTGAGCATTTGATTTAATTCCAAGAAACTTACCAAAGTGGGTAACAAATGAATCGACGATTTCAACCTTTGCCACCATATTTGAGTCAAAAAAGTTCAATTTAATCCAATTCATTCTCAAAAATGACACATTCAATTTATCAATGAGCAAACTTCGGATTGCATCTTTGACATGATGGATATCGGTTTGCAATTTGTGAATTTTGTCTACCAGCAAATGATCTGTTGATTAGAATGAAAAATATTATCTTATTATTGACTAGCAAATGTTAAACAAATATAATTTTTTACTTAATAATGAAATGTCTAAACGGAGAATAACTTTGTTTTTTCTGTCTTTGAAGCATTGATAATATGAACTGATTATGCGATGTAACTCATCTCCGTCTAAATCAGTCGAAATTTCAAGCAAGCACACCACTCGAACTTCGATGAGGTGAAAATTGGATGAGATCTAATAGAAAAATGCCATTATTTAATTTTGCAATTAGTTTAAATTTGAACTTATCTCACCTCATGCGAGAAGAATTTTGAATAAAGATCGATTTGAACACAGAAATCTCCGATTCTTCCTCTTTCCATGGAAAATCTCGACTTAAGGTAAGAAAAAATATTTTACGAAAACGCAGAAAGCTTCTTGATTTTGTATAAAATGAAACTTACGACATTATGTGGCTCTAAATAGGTTTTTACAGCCAAATCATACTTTACATTACCGACCATTGCATTGTATTCAGTCTCAATCAATAATTTTTTGCTGTGTGATTCAACCTAATTAATGTACATAAAATTAACATTTTTCATTGTTTGATTAATGAAAATTTTGCTGTACTCACCGGACTTTTGGGGAAATAAAGTTCCTTTGCAAACTCCTTTCCATAATTTTCTGAAGCCACATAATTGAATTCATCAGCAAAACTGCTTGATTCAATGGCACATTCATTGCGACCAGATGGAATGTATTTCAAACAAAATTTACGGTCATAAACGAATTTGAGGTTGAATTGTTTATCAATGATTTCGACCGAGGTAACTGTATCCAATGATGTGATAGAAAGCTAATGACAATCCGAAAGTAATAAAAAATTGAAGTTAATTAAAATTAGTTGAATAATAGAACAGCAATAATGTTAAATATTGTTGGATAACAAACTTCTCGGCATAAGTTAAATAAATCATTTTCCATTTCTAGCAATTAATGGGTGTCTATTATAAAATCCATTGAAGCACAAAACACAAACGAACACAATTGGATATCCACTGATAACAGGTAAACAAATGAAAAATAAATTAGATAAGAAATTAATTTAACACCATCTATGAGTCCATAAAATGACCAAAACACAAAACATTGTTTGTTTACTTACCTTCACGTTGTTTATTGAATATTATTGTTGTGTTAATTATGTATCCGATCGAAGTCAGAAAATTCGCTATACAAACCTATTACAGGTATGAGCTCTTGATACCGACGAAGGCAGAGTTGTTGACTCATGTTGTTGACATGGTAAAGGAGAAATTTGATGTTCAGGTAACTGGTGATTTCGTAACAAGAATTGAGAAGCGGTTTGATGAAACTTGCTCGTTAGAAGCTGCCAAACGTAAGCGTGATGAGACAACATTAGAGAGGGAAATTATTGCGATGGTCGAAGATGATGATACTTTGTCTTTACGAGTGGTGGCAAATCATTTAGAGACAAACAAAGAGACGGTCAAAAAGGTGTTGAGGAAACATGGATACAAACCTTATAAACCTTTCGAAGTCCAAAAGTTGACAGCCAGAAACAAAAATTTAAGATTAGATTTTTGTACTCTTTTTCCAACATTGGCCATCGATGTCAACAAAGTATGGTTCTCTGACGAGAAGATTTTTTGCCTGAGCAGGAGAGAGAATCACCAGAATACCAGGCGTTGGTGCAAAGAGAGACCGACTTTTTTCAACGAAAACACTTCACATCCATTAAATGTCCACACTTGGGGGTGCTTTATCGTCAGTTGGGATAATTGGACCATTTTTCTTTCAATCTAATGTTGACCAATTCGAATACCAGCGACTGATTGACTTCGAGTTTATCCCTGCATTAAGAGCCTTCGGTGGTCCTGATGAATTCTGGTTCCAACAAGATGGAGCCACGCCCCATTGTACCAACTATTCTTTAGAGCTTTTGAGAGTTTATTTTGAGGGTCGACTTATTTCTCGAAGAGCGGAAATAGAGTGGCCCCCCAATTCACCGGATCTTAATCCCTTAGATTTTTACCTTTGGGGTTACTTGGATGATAAAGTGAAAAAAGCTCAACCTAAAACTGTGAACCAAATGAAGCAAGTGATCAAAGATGAAATTGACCTAATAAATACCGACACATTGATATCTGTGATAGAAAATTTCAAAAGACGAATTCAAGTTTGCCGAGAGCAATCTGGTGGTCATTTTGTTGATATTTTATAATTAAGTATTTTTGTAAACAATAGATGGTGTTAAATTAATTTCTTATCTAATTTATTTTTCATTTGTTTACCTGTTATCAGTGGATATCCAATTGTGTTCATTTGTGTTTTGTGCTTCAATGGATTTTATAATAGACACCCTTTAGTTCGTCGTTTTGAGCTACTCTTCATCATCAAAAGCACAGATCTTGCACAGGCTAGCAATTGAATAAAACTTATGCTTATATCATTTTACTTGCAATAGTATCAAGCATATTATAATATTATACAGCCGAGCTTGACACAAGGTGAGTAGAAATCACTTACCTTAGTTGTTCCATGTTCTTCATCAACACCCAATTCGTTATATTTAGTAATGGATTCATTGAATTTACAGTGAATTCCTTTTGTTAATATTGAAGTGTTTGCTTTCACTAAAGACTCAGTTTGTTCTATGCATAAAATTAGGACTATCCTATTATGTTTTTCATCAACAAGAGGATTGTTCTCACTATCACGCATTCCCATGCATTTAGTCCGGCCAGAATCTGCACATTATTTATGGAATGAAGGAGGGTCTCCAGAATTTTTCACTTTTTTATCTTTTAGAGTTAAGGACTCAACTTTTTTTTCTAGATGCAGTTCCAGTTGCTTGGTTCAAAAATAATGTTTTGCGATTTTAGTCTCTCTGTGACATAAACTGCATGCTAGGAAGATGCTTATACTTCAAATCTGGGGTCTGTAGCATTAAATGTCTGTAAGTTATCACTGCAAACAGGTGGAAGCGTCAAAACGCTCTATACTGAAAACCGTCGACGGATATCATTTCTAATGTGGTGCACATTCATTATCGTACTCATTTTAATGGTTTTCAGCGTTCGGTTTGCTCTTTTATCAGGTTTTAATTTCGTCTATGGGTTTTAACATGGGATTACTGCAGATTTCATGCCTCTTTTTTTCTATGAAAAATAATCGATATCAAAAAAGTTTCCGATTCAGACTTTGCGTCTCTATGTGTGACTAAAAACTGAATATCATGACTCTGCGATCAAACCTAAGGCCAAGCGCCCAAGTTGTCCGAATTTTTTTGGTGAAGTTTTAACCGTAAACTATGATAGATAAAGAAAAGTTTTATATACAATTCAATAGGCCTCTTCAAGATCTATTGATTGCCGAAGTACGAAAGAAATTGGATCTATAGTCCGGTCTTAAATGGCCTCGAAAGTTGCGCACTTTGACCTCAAATAACTCAGAAACCGCTGATCTAAAATGAAAATAGTTTTTATTTTTGAACCAAACAACTGGAACTGCATCTAGAAAAAAAAGTTGAGTCCTTAACTCTAAAAGATAAAAAAGTGAAAAATTCTGGAGACCCTCCTTACAATTGAATTACTACTTCATTCATCTCCTCTAAACAAACCTTGCAAACTTGAGGTCAGGTGAAAAGTACCACAAGAATAAGTATATCCCCAATGTCCAGGATAAATATACAGCTGTTTTTCATTAGTTTCACACATTATCATACGATAAGTTCCCAACAGCAGAGCGGCTCTCAAAATCTGAGTTATACCTGGAGGAAATCCCTTTAAATTTTTATCCAACAAATCAACATTTTGTCCGCACTCATTTTCTGGTCAATAATTTTATAGTTATAAAAGTGTATACAAACAATTTTTCACTTAATGTGATAAATTTTTTGGTTACTTACGAACACAGATCAATGAAATGTTTTGAGTTTTAAAATCACGAAACACTTTTATTTCAATTCCTCCCTTTTCTTGTGTTATTAAGGTAACGATACTGTTTTTTTCATCGCCAAATACCGACTCTTCTATCAGCCAATTCCTTGAAATCCAATCATAATTATTTGGATAATATTCCTTTATAAAATTAAGCAATTTTTAAATAAATTTTTAAACCCAGTTGATTAAGTGAAAAACTTACCACATAACTTAATTTAGCTTTTAATAAAAAATTCGTTCCTAGTTCAGATAGTTCCTTGTAGCCTTGTTGATAAGCTGTTTCCATGAGAGTTTGAAGAAATGGAGAAAGGAATCAATTTGGTTTGAATATGAAAGTTTCGAATAAAAATTACCTTCATTTAATCTGGTTAAATTGTGTAAAATTATAAATATCAACAAAAAATATTTATTTGGAACCATCTTTCGTGTAGAAGTTTAATGTAAAATACTGTTGGGATTATCACAATTGATTAATGACGCTATTGTTTATAATCTCAAAACTTAAAATTTAATGAAATAATTTTGTATAAACTCAAGACTGATATTTAACTTTACTTAATGACGCCTTCAATTCCCATGCTTCATCAAATCAAATCAACACCCTCTTCCTTAAATAAAAGGAGGAAAGACAAAAGTTATTCAATCTGTAACAAGTCGCTACTGTTGCTTTTTTGGGTTACAATCCAATGATCAAGCAAATCAAGGTTCAAAATACTTATTAGTTGAACGCTAGATCAGATGCGAGATTGTTAGGGATTACATGAAAGTCTTAGCAATAAATAATGTCTCACATGCACGGTACCAATACTTATCAAATTAACTTTTATTAAGCAATGAAAAACAGAATGTTCAGATTCTAATGAGGTTGATATTAATTAAAAAAATAAAGCTATTATAACTAAAGCTTGAAAATAATTGGGAAAGTTCAAATCTAATTGATGAGTAACATAGAGTAGAGTCAGAAATGGAAGGATGAAGACTGAGAATAAGGGAAATTGCATGACAAGAAACTTTTATTGCTATGAACATTTTATGCTGAATTCATTAATAAGTCCATTTTTCGCATCGCCACAGCGCATTTTAATCATGTCCGATGAAACAGGTGAACCCGTTGTAGCCAAGGCTTTTTAATCGCTTAACACGGTTTGGCTCACTACTCAAAAGTAAAGCATGAGTTATATGAGAACAAAATCCAACCGGAATGCCTGACCAAACTAATTTTACAGATTCAAGTTTCAATTTAATGCTGGAGTTCCAGCTAGAGGCGGAGATGCTTCTGTTAAGCAATAAAAAAGTCAAACCATTCAGTGAAGAAAGCTATCGATTTGAAAAAAGAGGAATTACTTCGATAAATATTCAATTGTACTTTTATTCAGAATTTTGGCGCAAATGCATGAAGGAAGACATTAATGAATTGATTTTGAGATGAGTTTTGAAATTTTATTTCCTATAACATTTCAATATTTCAAACATTTCTTTGATATATTATGTTTTCTTGAAATATTTTATGAAATCAGTTGTTCAAATTATCCAATTTAATTGAAACTGTGTCCTTAAGAGGACGAAATCGACGTTGAGAATGTTTATAGTCTAACGCAAACTTAACAAATATCACAATATTGATCAATATAGAAAATATGAAGAGAAATGCGTGCGTTGAGTTCGATTTCGTCTTTTCTAGACTATCAAGGCGAATACCATCTCCAATCGTAATATCAACAACAACCAATTTAATATCGTAAGCGTTGAATTTACTTCCATTCAAATTGAGGTAAGATTTTTCAATTACTTTCAAAGGAGCTTCTCTCGATAGTCTGGATAAACTCTGATCTGAATTGCTAAACACCATGCAATCCAATCCATTGTTATCTTCATCTGGTAATGAGTTTCCATTAGCAATTCCAAGGCATAAATAATCTCCGCGAGTTTTACAAGTTATGACATCACTGGAAGATAACGTGATTTATGATATCAAGAAATTCATTTTCACAAAATTAACTGACCTTAGATTGGATTTAGAAGCTTCAAGATGTAAACATTCATCAATTGTTGATGTGTGAATCTGACCAGATTCAGTTGATTTGATATTGAATTTATGCGAAACTCCTCTTTTCTTTACTGTGTAAAAATAATTCTATTAGTTGAATCATTCAATGATTGCAAGTTATCAAAATCTTACAAAAGTCAATAAAAATTGAATCAAAAATCTCAACTTTTGCCATAATGTTGGTATGAAAAAAGTTGAATTTGATAAAGTTTATCCTCAAACTTGATATTTCCAGTTTATCCATGATCAATCTTCGTAGATAATTCTTAATTCCAAGAATACTCGCGAGCGCAGTATGAAGTTCTCTCGAGGTTGACTGATCTATTATGCAATGAAAAATATGCTTTTGACATCATCCAGAAATGAACATAAAATTAAATTTTTACCTAATAATGAAATCTTTAAATTGAGGATGATTGCTTCTTTCCTCTCTTTGAAACATCGATCATTCAAATTGACTATTTCATTTAAATTTCTATCGAAAACCCAAATTTCTCTTGAGAAAGATATCACTCTTGATTCAATATAATCGTATTGAAATGATTCCTAATGAAATAAGAAAAGTGTTATCATTCAAATCTCACACTCATTGCATCGTACCTGATTTGTTCCATATTTTGAATACAGCTTTTGTTCGATGGACAAATTTGCAAACCAATAAAAGCTATAAATGGATGATATCGGCTTTTTAAGGAAAAAATAGACATTTTGTATGTTGTTTTTGCAATAATTATCAGAATTATGAAATGAAACTTACATTAGGTGAAGGCCTCGAGAAAGTTGTTACAACCAAGTCATAATTGACATTGTTGATCACTTTATTGTATTCAGCTTTCACCATAAACTTATTGCTGTATGAAGCAACCTAGTCATACAGAAATATTTGTGTCATTTTACTTGTTGATCCATCAATAAAATTGTAAAACTCACCGGGTTCTTTGGAAAGTATGATTCACTCCCATAATAATCGGGATTTGCATAAATTAATTCATCTGGAGCATCGCCGAATTCGATTGCACATTCATTTGAGCCGGATAAAGTATATTTCATACCAAATTTATAATCGTAGACCAATTCACGATCATTCAACTTTCCATCACTAATCTTTATTGATGAAACCGAATCCACTGATGCGATGGTAAACTATTGGCAATTTAAAAGGGAAAATATCATTGTCAATTCAATCACTTGTCAATAATTTGCCCAAATTTTTATGAACTTACAAGATTTTTTCTGGAACCTATGGATACAGTCACTTGGGAAGTGCAACCTCCATCTAGCTTTTCAATAGTTATCTTTTTAAAAGGCTCCACCTGTGTTATATATAACGTCACATTTCGATCGTGTCCTTCAGTAATAATGATTTTTAGAGCATTTTTCAAGCCCATCAACTTTTTGTTATGCCGATCTATAAACCATTCATAGAATAAATTATTTCAACATTTTTTTACAATCCATAAAGTCTTCAAACAGACCTGAAAATACTGAAGTCATTTCTAAATATTGCATCGATCCATCACCAGTATGGACCCATCGACTAATTTTGTTATTTGTGCCATTGGCAAAATATGATATTATACGATAAGGTCCCATCAATAGTGCGCTTTTCACGATTCGGGTCACCATTTCATGTTCACTATGAAATTGGTAATTCCACAAATCTCCATCACGATAACAGTGTTTGAATGCTAAATTGCAATAAATCCCTTTCAGTTCATTGCCTCACAACTTTTTCTATTTACTTACGAAAACAGACCAGCTCAATACGTTGAGTTTCGAATTGACGAAATATTTCTATTGGATTTGCTTCATGATTGATTAAAGTTACAATTCTGTTTCTTTCATCACTATATATTGACTCTTCTATGTAAAAATCATTTGAAGATCCTTCGATTGTCTACATGAAGTTAGATAATTTTCAAAGAATTAAATTGAGCTTATAAATGAACAAAACTTACCTCATAATTCAACTTGGCTTTTATCAAAAAGTTAGTTTCATTTCCAAAAAGATGTTGCAAATCTAATTTTTCATTTTCTATTTGCATATTGGAAAGTAGGAAAGTTGGAAATTGGCTATTTGAAGATTTGATCGAATCATATAAAGTTATAAACATCAATACAAAATATTTTTACAAACATTATTCGGGTAAACTTTTAAAATAAACACAATAAGAACTGCACTTCGAACTTCTAATTTTATACTTTAAATGTTTAAAGTTTAATAAAGCTTATTTCCATGGGCTTCAACCTAGTACACCGATTCTTTAATGTACGCCTACAGTTCGCAAATTCGTCATATCTGTTTTACGCCTCTTTAAAATTAGATCGGATGAGGAAAGGGGAGGAATATTCAATCTACAATCAAAAAATAGTTCACTTTATTGGATTCAATGTTTTTGCTATAATAATATAGATATAATACTAGTAAGTAATTATCATTCGTATTTCAGATAAGTCAAATTTTTCAACAAAAGTTTTGGCTTTTTCTGGTTTTTATTATTCATATTGTACTTTTTATTGGCTTTAAGAACACAGAAATATATTTTTTGTTGTGCCATGATGACTGTTATTCTTATTCATCTTAAGACACGCCTAATATGGTTTCCGAATTTATGAATTAAAGAACAAAAATGAACGAAGTGTGTGATCAATCAATTTTCTTCAATTATATTAATATTAATATTTGGTCAATATAATTAATATAACAATATCAAATGAGCATGAAATATAATGCCTCACTGTTAATAAGCGACTTTGACAATCGGAAAAAAGAGTTTATTTCGGCAAAGTATTAGAAGATGGATCCCAATTGATTGGCGATTTACTATAAATCATAACCTTATAAATATTTAGATTGCTGGGACTAAATTTAGGCACGATTGGCCTACACTAATTTGTGTGATCACTTTAAGATGATAGCTGATTAGAGAAGTAATGAAATAATAGTACAGTCATGCATTTCTATAGTAATGGTTAAACGTTTGATTAAATGACAGCGATTCGTTGACAACCATACTTTTACTAGATCTACTGCAAAAACAGTGACGTCTGAGCGTGTGTATACTGTGATAAATGGGGGCATGATTGTAATGAAAATTAAAGAATTGACAATAAAATAAAACAGAAAGTTCACGAACTGATATAGACAATTCAGAAGTAGCTTTAGCTTGCCCCACAGTTTTTTACTTGTTTGTTACCCGGCCATTAGGTGAACTACAATGACAAAACCAATGAATTGTACAATTAGAGCGATTGCACTCTTTCATAGACATCTATGCCTCTCTTCCCATAGGAGGAGTAATTTAGTTTTTCAATTGTTTAAATTGTAAAATTCTTGGTTTCCTTTTGTAATTCACCTAGATGACATTGTAACAAAAAAGCAAAAACTCGAAGAAAATGTTGAGGGTTCATTTGACCTTCTCAAAGAGCAATAAAACGAAATTAACTGTCCTCTTTTCGATTTCGGCATTTGGGTGCATCCAAAATAGAAACATAAATTCTTTTGGAAAAGCTTTCTATTTTTCTATACAAATTTTTCTAGATAAAAAGATGTTGAAATCGAAAAGTGTGCAGCTGAATTCTGTGTATTGACCTTCATCCAGATCGAATGTATAGATAGCTGCCAATGAATTGTCGATATCGATTGTGAAGCTAACTCCGACTGTTAAACTCCAACTGCAGTTGGCCCTAACAGGTCGTCTAGGGGTTAACGGGATCATTTTTGACCGGCTTTTTCCACCACATTTCCACACGAATTTTTTTATAAGATCCACTACCCAAATGCACCAAATTGTTGACCACTCCTACACCATCTAACACATTCACTATTAATCGCCATCATATCCAAAAAGTGTCAAAATTTCGGTAAGATTTGAGTGGTGCATAATGTTCTAAAACATATTCTGAAAATCTGGTGGAAAAAAGCCACTCTAAAGTGTTGGATGAATGTGATGGACAATTTGTTGACTATTTTGTTGAGAAAAGTCTCTTTAAAGTGATAATGTTTGATTTGAAGGATGTGTTTGATGTTTTTGATTGAGTTGTGGACAATATAGTTGACGAAACAGTCAAAAACGTTAAAAATCTTGGTTAAAAAAGCCGATCCCGTTCAATTTAACCAATGTGCACAAAAAAATGTGCTGCCATCTGTTGTTTGTTTAGATGCTGCCATCTATTGGCATTTAAATTTATGAAAATTTGGGAGTGGGCCAATGTTCACCAAAAACTATACAGGTATTTTTTGGCCTAATATGAACCTATTTTCAAGATCTTGAGAAAATCTGAATTATAAAAATTGAGTTATCGCGGCACACAGATTTCTGATTTCATCTTATAGTCTTCGCTTCGCTCAGACAATTAAAAGCAAAAATTGAATAAAAGCATTATTTTTATTGATTTTGCTATTGCAATGGTATTAGGAATCAGATGCTTGATTTTAATAATTTAAGCGAAACGTAATCGCGAAGAGGATGAATTCGGTTTTGAGACAGTTTATAACCTGATCCGAACGCAAAAAATATTATAATGATCAATATGGAAATTATTAAGAAAAATGGGGAAGTTGAGTTTGATTTCGTCTTTTCTGGATTATAAAAGCGTATACCATCTCCAATCGTAACATCAACAACAAAAAATTCAACATCGGAATAGTTGAATTTGCTTCCTTGTAAATTGAGACAAGATTTTTCAATTTCTTCCAAAGGAACTTCTGCCTTTAGTTTGGTTAAACTTTGATCTGAATTGTTGTACAACATACAATCCAATCCATTTTTATCTTCATCTGGTAATGCATGTCCATCAGCAATGCCAAGACATAAATAATAGTCAGTTTCACAAGTTATAACGTAACTGAAAGATGATAAGTTTCGATGATATCAAGAAATTCATCTAAACAATTAATATTAACTGACCTTAGATTGGCTTTAAAAGCTTGAAGACGTAAACATTCATCAATGGTTGATGTTTGAATTTGACCAGATTCAGATGATTTGATGTTGAATTTATGTGATACTCCTTTCTTTGATTCTAAGCAACAACGTTTTATTAATTGAATAAATCAATGGATTAATTTTAAGAAACTCACCAAAGTAGGTAACAAATGAATCAACAATTTCAACCTTTGCCACAATATATGAGTCGGAAAAGTTCAATTTAATCCAGTTTATTCTTAAAAATGACACATTCAATTTGTCAATGAGCAAACTTCGCAGTGCATCTTTGACATGATTGATATCGGCTTGCAATTTTCGAATTTTGTCTGACATCAAATAATCTGCTTATTTTAATAGAAAATAACTTCTCATTATTTCTCAGCAAATGTTGAAAAATATGTATCAATAATAAATAATACTTTTACTTGTTGATGAAATCTCTAAACGGAGAATAATTTTGTTTTTTCTGTCTTTGAAACATTGATGATATGAACTGATTATGCGATGTAACTCATCTCCGTCTAAATAAGTCGAGGTTTCTAGTAAGCACATCACTCTAACTTCAGTGAGATTGAAATTAGAAGAAATCTAATAGGAAAAAGGACATTAATATATTCGCAAATCATTTCAGTTTGAATCTTATCTAACCTCATTTGGAAAGGATTTTGAATAAAGATCCATTTGAACACAGAAATTTTCGAGTCTTCCACTTTCCACTGCAAATCTTGACTTAAGTTCAAAACATGTATTTTATTAATATTAATACAAAAACGCAAAAATCTTCTTGACTCTGTATGAAATGAAACTTACGGCATTATGTGGCTCTAAATAGGTTTTTACAGCCAAATCAAACTTTACATTACCAGCCATTACATTGTGTTCAGTCTCAACCAATAATTTTTTGCTGTGTGATTTAACCTAATCATAAAAATTAATGCTTTTGATTGTTTGATTGATAAATGAAACTTTTGTATAACTCACCGGATTCTTAGGAAAATAAAGTTCCTTTGCAAACGCCTTCGCATAATTTTCTGAAGCAACATAATTGAATCCTTCATCAACCCCACTTGATTCAATGGTGCATTCATTTAGACCAGATGGAATGTATTTCAAACCAAATTTACGGTCATAAACAAATAGTTCGAGGTAGGATCGTTCATTAATGATTTCGACCGAGGTAACTGAATCCAATGATGTGATAGAAAGCTATTGACAATCCGAAAGTAGGCTAATTATAATTAGTTAAATAATAGAACAGTAAATATTTCATATATTGCTGATTACAAAATTGAATTCTTGATACTTTTGAACATAAGTGAAATAACAAATTTTCTAACCCTATCAATTAGCTGGTCGTTTTGAGCTACTCTTCGTCACGAAAAGCAAAGCTGCATAGATCATGCAGCCAGGTTAGCAATTGAGTAGAACTTATGCTCATAAATTTATTTACTTGTGATGATATTATAATTGTTGTATAGCCGAGCTTGAAACAAGGTGGACCAAAATCACTTACCTTGGTTGTTCTATGTTCTTTATCAACTTTCAATTCGTCATATTTAGTAATTGATTCATTGAATCTGTGGAAAATACCTTTTGTTGATACGTTTGCTTTTTCCAAAGACTCAGTTTGTTTTATGCATGAACTTAGGTTTACACGATTAAATCTTGCATCAACAAATTCATTGTTATTACTATCACGCATTCCCATGCATTTAATAGTCCGACCGGAATCTGCAGATTATTTAATGAAGGAATTACAACTTTACTCAATTCATCTTCTTCAAACAAACCTGTAAAACTTGGGGCCAGATACAAAGTACCACAAGAATAAGATCCCGTTTCAAATTTCCAATTTCCACGATAAATATACAGCTGGTTTTCACTAGTTTCACACAATATCATACGATAAGGTCCCAACAGCAGAGCGGCTTTCACAGTCTGAGCTATACTTGGAATGAGTCCCTTTAAATTTTTATCCAACAAATCAGCATTCCGTCCGCACTCATTTTCTGGTCAATAGTTTTATAGTTTAAAAGTGTTCACAAACAATTATTCACTTAATGTGATGAACTTTTTGGCTACTTACGAACACAGATCAATGAAATGTTTTGAGTTTTAAAATCACGAAACAATTTTGTTTCGATTCCTTCCTCTTCTTCGGTAATTAATGTAACGATACTGTTTTTTTCATCGCCAAATACCGACTCTTCTATTAACCAATACTTTTCAAATACAATACTTCCATAATTATTTGGATTATATTCCTTTATAAAATTAATCAATTCGTAAATAATTAGTCAGTTGATCAAGTGAATAAACTTACCTTATAAATTAATTTAGCTTTTAAAAAAAAATTAGTCCCTAGTCCAGATAATTCCTTGTAACCCTGGTAATAACCTGTTTAAATGACAGTTTAAAGAAATGGAGAAAAATATCATTTTACATTGTATTATAAAAGGTTTGACTAAAAATTTACCTTCACTCAATCTGGTTAAATTGTATAAAATGAAAAATATCAACACAAAATATTTACTTGGGAACATTTTTGCACGTAAAAGTTTTATATGAAATACTGTTATCACTATCACAATTGATTAATGACGCTATTTTTTATGATCTCAAAACATAAAATCTAATGAAACAATTTTGTAACAACTCAAGACTGATATGTAACTTTACTTTATGACGCCTCCAATCCCCATGCTTCATCACATCAACTCAACACCCTCTTCCTTAAATTAAAGGAGGAAAGACAAAAGTTATTCAATCTGTAACAAGTCGCTACTGTTGCCTTTTTGGGTTACAATCCAATGTTCAATCAAATCAAGGATTAAAATGCTTATAAGCTGAGCACCAGATCATATGTGAGATTGTCAGGGATTAACTGAAAGTCTAAGCAATAAATAAGATCTCATAAGCAAATTCTGATACTTATCAAATTAACTTTTATTAAACAAGTGAAAAACAGAATTTTCAGATTTCAAGGAAGATCAAAATATAATACTTAAAAAATGAATTCTAACTAGGGTTTGAAAACAATTGGGAAAGTTCAAATCTAATTGATGAGTAACAGAGTAGAGTATGAATGAAAGGATGAAGACCAAACTGGTATTGAGGAGGTAAAGAGGAGTGAGGTAAACTGCCTAACGAGAAATTTTTATTGCTATGCACATTTTATAACGAATTCACTACTTTAGTCCACTTTTCACATCCCCACAACTTATTTCAATCACGCTAGATAAAACAGGTACACCCATTGAAGCCAAGGCTTCATACAACAAGGTTTGCTTAATAATTCAATGGATGTGAAAAAAAATTCAACCGAAATACCAGGAGCCATCACGAGGTTAACCAAAGACATCAGATTTTTTGGGATAAAATTTGACCCTCGTCTTCAACACTCGTGTGAATAAGGCCTGGGTCTACTGTGCATTAATCCAGTATCAAGCATTCTTTCACTCAATGTTCCCTGTAGATTTTTCTGGGCTTGTGAACGTTATGCAAACGAAATACCTGACCGAACTGATTTTACAGCTTCAAGTTTCAATTACAGTTAATGATTTGGAAAAAGAGGAATTCTTTCGATTGTACTTTTTATTCGAAATTTTAGTGCGAATACATGAATACATAACTGCATTGATTTTGAAATTTAATTTCTCATAACATATTCTGTAATATTTCAAACATTTGATATATTGTGTTTTATAAAATCAGTTGTTCAAGTCATTCAATTTAATTGAAACTGAATCACCAAGAGGACGATTTGGACGTTGAGACAGTTTATAGCCTAATGCAAACTTAACAAATATCACAATATTGATCAATATGGAAATAATGGAAAGTATGATGAAAAATACGAGAGTTAAGCTCAATTTAGGCTTTTCTTGACGAATAATTTCTTCTTTTGGTTTCTTTTCAACGGATTTTATATCATCTTCAATAGTCACATCAACAACAGCAAATTTAATATCGGAATAGTTGAATCGACTTCCATTCAAATTGAAATAAGATTCCCTTATTTCTCGCAAAGAAACTTCTGCCAATAGTTTAGTTGAATTGCGATCTGAGTTGTCGAACAACATGCAATCCATTCCATTTTTATCTTCCTCTGGTAATGAATCTCCATAAGCGATTCCAAGGCATAAATAATACCCAGTTTTACATGTTATAACATATCTGAAAGATGATAAGTTTTGATGATACCAAAAGATTCACTTTTATGAAATTCACTGACCTTGAATTGGCATTATTAGTTTGAAAACGCAAACAGTCATCAATACTCGATGTATAAATTTTACCAGATAAAGTTGATTGGATTTTAAATTTGTACGAAATGCCTTTCTTTGATTCTAGGCGAAAAATGTTTTTATTAATTGAACAAGTCAACTTTTTAACTCGAAGAAACTTACCAAAGTTATTAACAATTGAATCAAAAATTTCAACCTTTGCCATAATGTGCGAATTTAAAAAGTTGAACTTGATCAAGTTTATTCTTAAAAATGATATTCGCAGTTTATCCATGAGCACTTTTCGTAACTCATCCTTACTTTCATGAATATTGGCAAGTGCTTTATCTAGTTTCCTCGAAGTCAAGTGATCTGTTTTGTAATGGAAAATACTCTTCTGATATTATCTGAAAATGAAGCATGAAATTATATTCTTACCTAATAATACAATCTTCAAATCGAGGATAATTTTATTTTTTCCGTCTTTGAAACATCGATCATGAAAATTTACTATTTCATTTAAATCTCCATCCACACCAAAAGAATCAGAAAACGATATCATTCTTGATTCAATGTAAACGCATTTAAATGCGTCCTAAATTAGATTATCATTAATTTTATTATCGAAATCTCACACTTATTGGATCATACCTCATTAGATGCAGATTTTGAATAGAGCTTTTGTTCGATAGAAAAACCTTCAAACCACTCATTAAGATATAATATCGACTTCTGAATAAGAAAAAAATAGACGAGTTTTGGATTGTTTTTTCTATCATTATTATCATGAAATAAAACTAACATTAGGTGAAGACCTCGAGTAAGTTGTTACAACGAAATCATAATTGACATTATCAACCAGTTTATTGAATTCAGCTTTTACCATAAATTTATTGCTGTACCATTCAACCTGATCGGAGAAAAATACTAGTGTGATTTTACTTGTTGATTCATCAATGAAATTGTAAAACTTACCGGATTCTTTGGGAAGTAAGAATCTCTTCCATAATATTCAGAATTCGCAAAAATAAATTCATCTGAAGCATGGCGCAGTTCGATTGCACATTCGTTTGAGCCAGACAAAGTATATTTTATACCAAATTTGTAGTCGTAAATCAATTCAGAATCACTCAAATTTCCATTACTAATCTTTGCATATGAAACCGAATCCAGTGATGTGATGGTAAACTATTGACGATTCAATGGTAAAAAATGGGTAAAATTAAATATCTTATCACATGAAACAAAAAGAAAGGATTGAGACAAGAAGCATAAAAATTATACTGACACTGGAGTCTATAGATTTTGAACTAAACCAGTTTACTTGTCAATAATTTGCATAATTTGTATGAACTTACAAAATTTTTCCTTGAACCAATGGTGTCAGTCAATTCGTAATGGATACCTTTATTTGCCTTGGAAATGGTTACCTTTTTAAGAGGCTCAACCTGTGTTATAAATAATGTTGCATTTCGATAGAATCCTTCAGTTATAATCAATTTCAGAGGATTTTTCAAGCCCATCAATTTCCTAAAATACCGATCTATAAATCATTCATAGGATAAATTATTTTACCCTTTCGGTACTTTTGGTATAAGTCTTCAAACAGACCTGAAAATTTTGCAGTCATTTCCATATATTGAGTCGATCGATATCGTCGACCAGTATCGATCCATCGACTAATTTTGTTTGTGGCTAAAGTTTCATTGGCAAAATATGATATTATACGATAAGGCCCCATCATTAGTACGTTTTTCACAATACTGGTCACCAAAATATCTTCACTATAAAATTTGTAGTTGCGCAAATTTCCATTTTGTTCACAATATTTCGATGCTAAATTGCAATAAATCCTTTTTTAGTTTATAAATTTGCTATTCTTGCAAAACTTACGAAAACAGACCATCAAAATGCGCTGAGTTTCAAATTCACGGAATATTTCTATCGTTTCAACAAATCCTCTGCTTATTGTAGTAACAATTCTGTTTCTTTCATCACTAAATATTGACTCTTCGATGTAAAAATTGCTTGAAGATCCTTCGTACGCCTTCATAAAATTAGATAATTTTCCAAGAATTAAATTAAACTTATAAATAAACTAAAACTTACCTCATAATCCAACCTTGCTTTTAACAAAAAATTAGTTTCCGACTCCAAAGATTGTTGCAAATCAAATTTTTGATTCCCTATTTGGATAAGAAAGCGAAATATAATAAATGCATTTTTGGTTTATAAAGCAACTTATCGAAATGCTCACCATCAATGATGCGCACATATATTGGATCGCCTCCGTACGTTTTGGTCAAATAACATAAAGTCATAAACATCAATACAAAATATTTGTCCACGAACATTTTCCGGGTAAATTTTTGAAACAAAACACAATAAGAACTGCACTTCGAACTTATAACTTTATACTTTAAATGGTGAAAGTTTAGTAAAGCTCATTTCCATGGGCTTTCACCTAGTTCACCAATTTTTTCATTTACGCCCACAGTTGGCATACTCGTCACTACACCATTTTTAAATTAGATCGGTTGAAAAGGAGGAAAGGGGAGGATTTATTCAAGCAATTATTCACTTGAAGTTGAGGCAAAAAGGATTTTCAATACTTATTAGTAATATTCGTATTTCAGATGAGTCAAACTTTTGACGATCAAAACTGTTCTCCTTGGAAAAAATGTAATCTTCTTGTAATTTTTAATGTTTTAATAAACTAAGAATAATATTTCTTGTTGTTTCATGGGAATCACTAACTGATAATGAAGCAACTTTGGCAGACAGTCTGACAAAACTGGGTTATTTTCTGTAAACCATAACTTTCAGCAATTGTTAGAAGATGAATTCCAATTGATTGTCATTAAATAGCATAAATCACGACCTTATAAATGTTTAGATTGTTGGCACTTTAATTGAGGTAGAATCGGCCTACACTGAGTTTTATGATCACTTCAAGATAGTACGTAGCTGATTAGAGAAGTAATGGAACAATAGTACAGTCGTGCATTTCTATAGCAATGGTAAAACGGTCAAAACATTTCTGTCATTGATTTTTTTATTGCAATTTTATTAGGAATCAGATGCTTGATTTTAATAATTTAAGCGAAACATAATCACGAAGAGGATGAGTTCGGTTTTGAGACAGTTTATAGTCTGATGCAAACTTGACAAACATCATAATATTGATCAATATAGAAATTACAGTATTTTTCAAAAAAACTGTCAGTTCTCTATGTTCGTTTCGCGATGGAATATCTCTGATATTATGCGT